ACACTCTTGTGGGACACTCTTATGGGACACTCTTGTGGGACACTCTTTGTAGGAAACTCTTGTGGGACACTCTTAAGGGACACGGTTGCGGGACACGTTTCGCGCTCCCCAGTGGCACGGCGTCGCGCAAACGCACTTTCCACCAAGGCCGTGCAAATCCCAATGGCACTGCGACATCACGAACGTCGCGTCGCCACACGGTCTGCCCAGACACTAGAAGCAAACATGTCACATGATACCACATCCCGCTCACCAGCGACACGCCACGTTTAGCGCAAACGCACTTTCCACCAAGGCTGCGCGAATCCCAATGGCAATGTGACATCACGAACGTCGTGTCGCCACACGGTCTGCCCTCACACTAGAAGCAGTCACGCGAGCGTTTCGTACGAGACTTCCTCCAAAAGGCGCGCTTCGAGGCTGCAAGACGAGCGTTTCGTACGAGACTTCCTCCAAAAGTCACGCGTCAAGTCTCCAAAACGAGCGTTTCGTACGAGACTTCCTCCAAAAGTCACACGTCAAGTCTCCAAAACGAGCGTTTCGTACGAGACTTCCTCAAAAAGTCACATGTCAAGTCTCCAAAACGAGCGTTTCGTACGAGATATCTTCCAAAACTCACATGTCAAAGTCTGCAAAACGAGCGTTTCGTACAAGACTTCCTCCAAAAGTCAAGCGGAAACACCCATCGGAGCACACACGTCACGCGCGCCCTGCCAAGCAGTTTCGCGATTCCAGCTCCTCCAAACAACACCCGCTCACACGCCAAACCCAATGGGACAGCGACATTCACCTCTACCACAACTCACAACCTGACGATTCCCTGCGCCTGCCACGAATCTTTCCGCATCTACACGTCTAACGCGCACAAAGTACTGTGCCTGCCACGAAATGTCACCTCCGTCACACCTCGCAACCTCACGATTCCCTGTGCCTGCCGCGAAAATCGCACTTCCATACCTCAAAGCACGCACAAAGTACTGCGCCTACCACGAAAAGTGACAATGTCATCTGCTGTGAGCTTCACCAAAAGTTGCACCACACCACACGATTGGAATGATTTCGACCCGTTCTGAGCACACTCCCAAAATCACCACTTCAGCTGAGACTTGTCACGAAAACAGCGCTTCGATGCCACACCCTGAAACGCAAATCCCAATGGCACGGCCACATCCAACACCCCAAAAACACGACTCTCCAAACGCTAATCCCAATGGAACTGCGCAGCAAACTGCGGATATCACAAAACGCTGCAGCTGCGCAGTGAAATCATCCTCCACACTTCAGCATCTTACATTTCCATACGATTCCTCGCTATTTCACACGAATCTGACACGTCACGTTTCCATCCGAAACCTACTCCAAAAGCTTCCCCCAATGGCCTCGAGTTTGAGACGCGACGACGACGACAAACGACGACAAACGACGACAGACGACGACAGACGACGACACGACGCAAGCCACGCAAACACAGCTCCAACCCCCAGACCCCCAACTATAAACGGGAACCCTTCACTACGCATTCGGGAAAAACATGTGTGGTATACATACAGTGCTCCCATGTGCTCCCTATGCCAGGGGATGTTATTGATAGGGAACATCAACGTCACTCGATCCGCTAGACCTGCTAGACCTAGGTAAGCTGGGAGCACTCGCTGGGCCGCCATGCCGAACGGCACTCGCGACCGAAACACAAGGACAGGACACCCGGACACCCGAGGCCGAGGCGACTTGGGCGAAGGAAGACTTCAATCCCGGGGGAGTACTGTACACTCCCTGGAATCATATGTTCATCCTTTCGGGGCCATGATCCACTTTGGCCCATGGTGCTTCCAGGGAAGCACCAAGTGGTTTACGATCAGTACGAAGCATCGGAATTGGACGCGGTGACGCGGGTCTCCAGATGTGGGGAAGACCGGGATGGAAGAAGTGGTTGCAGTAGCCCCACCTGGACTTGACCTTCAGCACCTGGGAAGGTCGAAGGTAAGATCACCTTTTTCAAACCCTTTTCAAACCGTCTCGACCCATCTTCGAATCTGCCCAGCGGCCCAGTAGATGTCGAAGAAAAACATGGCCACCAGAAGGATGGTGGCGATCTTTAGGTTCGGCAGCCTCCCATGGGCCAGATGGGACTTCAGTCAGTCCATCAACTTCTTACAAGCATCATTGATGCACTCTGTACGAGTAGGTAGTGAAGTTGCTGTCATCCGCGATGAAAGGAGAAGCTGCAAAAAAGAGGTTTCCGCTGTTGCTTTGGGGTGGAAGGAGGAGAACTGGAAAACAAACCGGGAGCTTGTTCTGAACTTAAATCCTTTCCTGAAGAGTACAGTGCATGACCATTCTGAACGAAGGAACATGTCACATCGCGTGTTTTCCATGGTTTTCCTGCTAGGGGTGTCACTGCAATTGGTCCACTCCTACTAGCTGCCATTTGAAACACCTGTCTTGTCGGTCATGCGTGAAATCTTGTGACAGAATGGGATCCCTGTGAAGAGACAAGCCAAAACACCCCTATCTTGAGTCCTTGATTCCGCAATCGCAAGAGTCCGCAGCTTTAGTCAGTATGAGAGAACCTTACCTTGCTCAAGAAGCAAACTACACTGCCACAATGTTTCCAGATATGACCTGTATTTGTGTAGTGACAAGTCAAGTGACTACTATACAACTTGGCTACAACAACCGTTAAACATCCTGGTGAACCTGGGTAGTTCGCTTGGAAGGCTTGCTGCCGAAAAAGAAACGAAACAATGAAGCACCAATGATGGTTTGAACATTATAAAATACGAAGCTTTGAGAACATAAAGCAGTTTACTAGAAAGATGCTGAAAGAAGAACTACAACATGAAATGCTAGGTGTCCGAGCGACCCTTTCACCCGTGGGGACATGGCCGATTCCGCAGATCAGCAGATCTGCAGACCGGCACCCGATCTGCGCGCCTGAGGGTTCTTTGCATCCAGCAAAGGAAGCCTGCACCAATAATGTCCTGCATTCGGCGGAATTGCGCCCATCACGCATGCGGAGCCACGAAGTATGTGTGCGTAGCAACAAGGTAGCAAAGCCGATCAGTGGATGAATGGCTTCAAAGGGTCTGCCAGTTTCGGGTGGAAACAAACGGGAAAGAAATGGTGAGAAAGGGTGGAGAAAGCACCACGACGGACTCCCGAGGCCGTTTCGATCCCTGGAAAAGAAAGGTTCCCCAATCCCCAAAAAAAGGTTTTGCACGTTATCCACTTGGGTAGGATGATAAATATGATATGATGATATGATGATATGATGAAGAGGTTGACAACCCAGATGTACCAGCTCACTCCATGCCAACGCCATTACGTCATTCTTCGGGAGCTGGATGTTCAGCCCTTGCTGATAAAAAAAAAAATCGGCCATCATTTCAAGCCATTAGAAGCCATGCAGCGCAATGCCGTATGGATCAGAGTCGCGACATGGATGATTTCCAGTCTGGTCGCTGCCTCCTAAAAGCATCTAAAAGCAAAACCTGTCCCTAGGGCTCCAAGTGCCTCTTCAGAAGGTATGACTGGACCCTCCTGGCACCCACCCCAAACACCTTCTTAGAAGGTACGGAGCCCTAGGGTGTATGAATTGTACAAAAATCACTCGTCAAGGTGCTGGTAGCAACCGGTTCCATGGAACACTGTGGTGGTCTCTGCTCTTTCTCTATCTCTCTCTCCATGTTCACTCTCTCCAGCAGTTCTCCCGGCCCAAAGCTTACCACAAATCAAGCATTATCCATGTCCAGGCTCAGAACCGTCCATGTCCGGAGCTCCAGTTGTCCGATGCAGTTCCGTGAAAACTTGTTAAGCCAGTCCGATGCAGTTGTCCCCCTTTCGCTCCTGGAAGGGCCAGGCATAGTGGGTGTTTCGAAGAATCACCCAACACCTGAGCCGTCGACTGCGGAGAACCCACGAGGAATCGACCCAGGAGGTCGACTCAGGTCGAAGACCCGCGCAGCATTTGTTTCAGGTCGAAGACCTGGCCCAAGTCCTGAGACAGACCGTGCTCTGCAGGGTCTGTGTCACCCCAAAAACCGTGCTCTGCTGGAATTCACGTACTCCTTGGGGCGAAGAAAAAAGCGAGACTGAGTTCACCTCCTAAGGGTGTTGAGGGTCGGACGTTACCTGAGGGACACCAACCCCGGTACTTTGGGTAACGATGCAACAGCTGAGCAGACAACCCTTACCTTGCAAAGAATGGGCCCTCCCTCAGACAATCAAAGCCGAGCAGGCCCCCCCTTCCAGAGGAAAATGCTCATCTATGTTCCACGTGAGAAATGATTCTACCAGGGAGTGCCCTGTCCCTTTACCTCTTAGATCCTTGTAGATCCAAGGTCCAGTCGTTGGGTCGGACGGAGTTTGGCTAATCTTGAAGGTCTTGGCGTCACTCCAGTTCATCAAGTGGAAAGCACCCAGGTGACAAGAATAACGGCGAGGTTCAGTGGTTCAACCACCCGGGCCAACAAAGGCCACTGCTAAATGACTAGCAAGTTCCAAATCGCTCCCTGTCAATCAAAAAAATGGGATTCCGCAGCATCCTACAGATCGTTTTTCGCAGCTCCTTTGAGCTGTCTTAGCTCCTGACCAAACCTTGCAGCTACAAGGTAGTAAGTCTCCCTTCATCACGTGGCCCTTCCTCCACAACCTCTGATGGCAAAGGGCAATGCCAAGAGTGATGATGGCACCAAGGCGAGGCTCTCCGCCTGCGAGTTCGGTTGTCCACCGGACCTACACTCCTTGAAAGAATGGAATGCTGCATGTTGAATTTTAGACTTCAACATCGGAAGCTTCGTTCTGGCACTTCATGCTGTCGGTGGATCACATGGGCCCAGGTTTGTCCGTCGACCGTCCGTGGGCGGTGTTTGACCTGGTTGAAGACACGTGTTTGTTGATCAGCCAATAAAACCAACAACTGCCTGGTCTTCAGCACACCAACATACACCCACATTCAAAGCCAATGACTAGAGTCTAGAGTCTGTTCATTCTTCGGGATGCCCATCATGTCCAATCCCATCTTTCCTCTGGCAACGAGGCTGTGCCTTCGAGATTGGGCCAAGGCCAGGCAGGGTCACGAACTTCTCGCGAGACCAGACCGCCTCGAACAAGGCACACATAGAACAAAAGCTGGCAAGAAGAACCTCCTCAATGGAATGAGTTGCCTGAAAATACCCAAACGCTTCAGAAGATACCCTCAAACATGTACAGTATGATCAGTGATCTTTGGAGTATTATCTATATATATATATACATACTTGGGGGACCACTCTAATAACATACTATACAGCTGTTTGGGTTTGCAAAACAACCGTCGATAAATATATATATTTACAATTTATACACACCTCACTTCAAGAATCGTTGAGTAATATTCTGAAATTAAACACTGAGGCTCCCGACATAGTGGTACAAGCACATGCTGATAAACTGGGTCAGGCAAAGTGCTCCACCTGAACACGGGTCCGTTCGCAGCGAGCGTTCGAAGTTCAAAAAGAGCGCTTGCTGCAAACAGTCTGAAGGAAGGAAGGTGAAGGGTTGACAAAATCTGCCCCAACCTTCTGCATTGTCCACTGATCAATGTATCTACGTATCGAATGTATAATGCATAGGTCTTGTGAAAATGTTATGTCTGGCAATGTGATTCAAGTGACTCCACTCTTTTCAGTGTTCAAGAAGACAAGAATGGAAGATATATAATGAAACAAACAGGGGCCTCCGTACCGTGGAAATCTGTGAAAACAACGGGTCTCGCGGGTTTTGCAATGGAAACCCTCCAGGACTCCAGGAGGTTTCTTCTGGCTACTGCACGTGAGATTCTGTGCCACTTCTTTGTTTTGCACAAAAGCTGTGGTTCCCATCTCCCCACCCACAAGTTTCCCGGCGTACGAAAGGCAGGCTGCCCACCGCTGCACGGGTTCGTTGAGTGTCCCGGCCCACACAAAAGGCAAACATTATGAAATAGATGGCGTACTTCCTGATGAGAAGTGCAGAGAAAAACAAACATGTGACGGAAAAACTAGTTGTTTTGGGCAATTCCAAGGATGTTCAGCTCACGCGACAAGTGCCTAGAACCACCCAAACATGGCAAAGAGTGGCATACCCTCTATCTTTGGTGGTGCACAGTACCTTCCACCAACAGCAATGTATATAAACACCTGATGAACTCCTCCTATTGGTTTGGTACGACTTTTTCCTGCAGTGCTAACCGCCTTTCTCCTGGCACAAGTTCCAGAAGTGGGGTACACTAACCCCACCCAAACTAGTGTGGTCACCTTTCTTGGGCCATGTCTGCAAGACTAGCCGCTTTTCTCATTCTTAATCCGCATCTTTTACTAACCCCATCTGACGAACTAGGACAATATATAGAGAGAGAGGTTTTCGTATGTCCAACTATATGTCCCTTTTCTTGTCCAAACCCACTTCTCAAGACACCTTGTTGCCCCTGCTGGCTCATTGTTGGCTCATGCCCTTCTGGCAGCTTGCATTTCCACTAAAACTCCCTGAATAAGACAGTGGAAAAATCGGTGAATATGTGCAGCAACTTCCCAGGCGCAGTCTTGATACTCATCACTGATCACCCATATTGGCATCCTGCTCCTCGACCAGCTCATCCTCTTCCTACCTTCCATATCTTCCGCCTCCTGCTCAACCAGCTCTCCTTCTCCAACCTCTAATGCATCCCGATGCTCCCTTGACGCATCTCATCACAAGAATCTCACTGCTCCCCACCTGCACCCAGATCCTCCAACTTTACACAGAATTCCGAGACCACTTCCAGTCCCAGAAAACACTATAAACTTCTTTACGAGAACCTATCCAACAAATGATTTGCTCATGCCCGGCATAAACCCTCTATTCACAACCCCAAAATTTGGTTGGTCTCTCCAATCTCTCCCCAAAGCAGGGAAGACTTCCCTTGCAGTCTGATGCCCTTTCCAAAAAACTAGTCCGAATGTGTTTCTTCCACCCTCCTTCCCTCTCCTGCTCTTTCCTGATGGAATCTTCAACCTCATGTCCTTTCCTTCATGTTCTTATATTCCTCGAATCCCATCAGCTTCATTCAGCTGATCTTGTTCTCCACATTGACACGGTGCCCCACGGTGCTTCTTGAGATGGCAGGTCATGGTACCCCACCTCCAAGTCTTCAATTGACATCCAAGTCTTCCCAATCAAAGAACATAGCTTCCATTCCCATGATGCCACACTTTAGTCTTGGGGATCCCTCCTCATGAAGACATGAAGAGATTTATATAGTCTTTGGGATCCCTCTTCATGAAAAGATGTGCAGTAGCCTTTGGGGTCTCACAATTGACCCCCCAGTTACTAAAAATGTTTCAGATTTCAGACCTTCTAGAGAAAAGGGGGAGTGTTCATCGGGTGTCTTTCCATTGGTGCTTTGAAGGGAATGAAGGAAAAGATCTAAAGGAATCTATATTGGAGGCTCATTCAGTCAGACCAGGAGGGGCATGATGCAAAGTGGCGCGTGGGCCACGCCCCAACACTTGATACGTGGATCGATGTACGAAAGGGCTGTGGCATAGCTGCACCACAGCCGCATTCGGGGTAACTCCTTCACACCGAAGGAGTAAGAAAGATCCAAATCCATAGGCTTGCTATTCAGCCGAACGGCAGACAGACCAGAGATGGTCTTCCAACGACATGAAAAGGATTCTGAGGAAAAGGATAAGTGAGGACGGGCGCAAGAAAGGCAACGGGCTGGTGATAAGGACAGGGATGAGGGGGATGAGGAGGATGAGAAGGATGCAGAGGATGAGGAGGATTAGGAGTATGCGGATTGGGATGCAAGAAGCGAGTCAAAGCAAGAGTTTATATCAAAATGCAGACTCCACAATCACTGGTGGATTGGTAGTTATATATTCATATTACATCATATTACACTTTCCCAGCTACCCGCTGGTTTCTGTGGGTCTCATTAATCCTGAGATGCACCAAATAAACCACCATACCTATATAAATCCCGCCGCATGCTGAATGAGTTGCTAGTGTTGCTACGAGGTGCATGAAGAAGAAGAGGAAGACCAGCACGCAACTGCCCATGACACAGAAGCCTCCTGCCTGGGCTGTTTTTTCGCTTGCGATTGCGTGTGAGGGCAAGGGTGCTGCCCCGAAGTAAGACGACCCAACGCATGGGGTTCAAATGAAGGATTGCCAAAATGTGTTCACTGTTCACTGTTCACCTAAAAGATTCTAAAGGACTTATTGTTGTGGTGATTATCATGATTTTCACTCCACTTCCATGGCTGTTTCAAGGAGTGTATGAGATTCTTTCTGGGTGGACGTGAAAGCAATAAAAGCATCCTCGATCGACTCGATGCACAAAACGATGAAGTTCAATCAAGAAACTATGTGATTTGTAGTCCAAACCATAATGGTGTACATGAGCATGGTTCATTTCGGGATGTGATCGGGTTGTAAGGGTGGTTAAGCCACATCCACATCAAACATGCCTCTCTGGAGAAAAATTCAACCCCAGAGCACCTCAAAAAGTCAGTCAGCACGCTGAGGCTCAGGCCATCCAAGCGTCCAGCTCTTGAACTTCTTCGGTCCTGGGTCAAAACTCTACTAGGAGCAAGGACGCTACTAGGGGCTCCTGGCCGTACTACTAGGAGCATCCTTACTACTAGTAACAAGAACCTACTACAAGTAGGGGCTCCTGGCATCGCTACGAACGGAGCGATCGGACGCTACTGGGATTCACCGAACTCGCTTCGTTTGCTTCCGAAGACACCCCAACATTGGTGCACACCGAGCTTTGAAGACACCCCAGGTGGTGTTCTGGATGGTAAAATTCCCAAGGTACCTTTCATCAGGCTGGGGTGTGCGTGTGGATGAAAAAAGGGACCAGAAGGAGGCAGAAAGCAACATGGAGGATCTCCTTTTGACGAACTATGCAGGGCTCCTTCGCCAGTGCTTCACGTCTTTCTCATGCAAATGAAAGAAAAACAAGTTCAAGATTCAAGATCATTCTTTCGCACCGCACCTCACCGGTTGTCCTTTCTGCACCTGTCCCTGTCCTGAAAAGTCCCCTGAACCCCGATGGCCTCCAACTTAGTAGCGATGGCTTCCAACCCAGTTGGAGGCTATGGTAAGACCGGCTTCGTGTACAAATAGATGGTTAATTTCCCAATTCCATGTTAGTCAGAGGGTACTTGTTCGGACCGAGCTGGGTATGCCATTTTTTACGGAGCTTCCCTGCACTCTTTTTTCGAACTTCGAAGGTGAACATCTTAAGGAGCTCACCCATCCTCAGGTTCCTCCATCCCCATCCCAGCCAATGATGTCCTTTGGGATCATGTGGGAGTAATAAAGGGGCTTGATTTCGTACCTATTGGCTCTTCACAACCACGAATGATCTCCTTTTAACCAATAGTAAAAGGCCATCTATGATCCCATTCCAACCCCTCAACCTGTTCCAATCACCGAATCCACTCTCCATTGCCCTCTTCTTGTGCCAACCGCCAGGGTGCTGCGGGGCGATTGCGCTGCTGAAGCTCGTCTGCCGCATGTCCGCGGTGGAAAAGAAGGTCCCAGCCTCGGCCGCATCGCGCACCGCTTCCAAACACATTTCCGGAGCAAGGTTCAAACGATATATAGGGGATAATGAGTCAATGGCATGAGGAGGGAGCCTATGATATGCCATCCACTTGGTATCCCCCCATAACAAAAAAATTGAAACAAACAAGAAACATGCTCTAGTTGATGCTGCCGAGGAAACTCGGCGCCCGTCTTTTCTCACCGCGCGAAGGGGGCGAGCCGATGGGTTCGTGTTTGGGTGGTGTGGAACTAATTCTATCACTTCGACACAGCTGACACTACCGCTGTTCCATTCGGATGACTTCCTGCCACCTTTCTCAATGAGGCCGCGGGCTGCTACCAGTGCCGTAGCGGTCAGGATCAAAATCAGCTCCGACCTCGTTCTCGCGGGCACAGGCTGCTTAGGGAACTTAAAGGGAGTGCTTAGGGTATCTTCCAACCCAAAACAAGTGGATCTCGTACGTCTAGACAAATCCAACCTGGTGGATTTCCGTGTCTTTCGGAGTGACTTGCAGATTGGAAACCTTCGGAGTGACCTGGCCGTTCGACTCAGAAAAGATCAGAGTCATACCAGAAGTTCCTCCGCTTCTGATGATTTGCAAGCTTCTTCAACCATGTGCCCACTGTCATGTGCCCACTTGAAGCTATTCGTGTTGATTGTTGTTTGGCAAAAAGGCGAGGTGTTCATCAACCGTTCTCTTTTTACATCTCTTCCTTTGAAACACATTCACTATATGTAATAAATTCTAACCCTTAGGGTGAGCTCATTCAAACAATGCATCAGAATGAAGCAGTTGAGTTGTCGAAAGAACCAACGATCTTCTTGACCCAATTAGCTGAGAGAGCGAGCAGCACTCCAAATATCAGTGAACATCCAGTGTCAGTGTTCAGCATCCCGTTGTGAGTAAACATAAAGGACCAGCCGGCAAACAACCATTCCTATTAGATATGCCCGGTGGAGGGTTTGTCAAAATTCGTACACTAGTTCACCCGCAGAGAGGGCATTGGATTCTCAGCTAAGAAAGTCTGGCATTTGGTGAGAACATTGGGAGCTTTCATCAAGAACGGTCCAGTCACTCTTCAGTCAATCACATTACTCCAAGTCCTGAGGGATCTCGTGTGACTTGCCTCGAAAACTGTTCAGTTCGCAGTCCTTATAACGAACAATCCCATCGATCTTATCGAGTCCATCGAGCTTGACAACCTGTTTGTTTTCCTGCCCAGCTGGGCTCTCGAGCACATTGAAGGGTGATGGATGATATGAGGTCACTGAGACCACCTTGGGTGCCCGACGTCTCTGACTCATGGATTGGCGAATCCAAAGCGAGAAAAATCTGGAAAGCACCCTCCTCAGGAAACTCCTGCAGATTTGTTCCTTCAGAGGCTGAAAATCCGTGGTTTCCGATCTTCCCCTTCAACCCATCCTGGGCGGAGCTGGACGAGCTGCTTCAACGGCCCAGCTGGACGCGGGAGCGACGGCCACCGTGGCACGTGGCGGATCCCCGCGGCTTCAGACGTGCCCCGAGGACCACCAGGGATGCGAATAGGGTTGGAGACTGACAGGCAGGATCTTTGGATGCTGTACAAGTATATTATAGTATATAAATCTGAACTTTCTGCTGATGGGGGGGGCACTCATCAGCCAACTCCTGAACTGCAAGAAGCCCTACTTGTTCACCAACACATCGGGAAAACATGTCTGCAGCCATCCCCATAGATCATCAGTTCTTTCTTTCGCAAAGGCAGGCTCACTGTCTCAAGATCAAGGGATCCCCGAAACCAACACGTTTTCAGATGCTCTGTCTCCAGCTGAATTCTGTATCTGCTACAGTTCAATTATAATATAAACGTATCATCATTCCGCCAGTTACACCAGCAACTGATTTGCTGGTCCAACGAAAAAGAGTCGCGAGTCGCAGCTCCGCCCGACATGTTCACAGGAGAGTTCGATTTCCAGGAAGTGCTACTCCAGTCTCACGTCCGAACATCTCCAGTTTCTGCAACCGTGCGGATCTTGACCAGAGGGGACTTGCGCGCCGCAGACGAAAGGGAAGGAGGAGGTCAACCACCTTGATGTTGAAGGTTTAAGAGGCACCAAGAGGCACTGTCACTTGGAGATCGTCCACACTTCGCCCGACACACCTCTAAGCACCAAAGAACCTCGTGCGAAAAGAACCTGCAAAGCCTTCCAATTCGCCAAGAGGTCACTAGGTCACTAGGCTGCCGTTCATATCTGTGGAGGTTGAGACCTATCTATAGAAGTATACAGGACAGTACCCCTGTTAGACTCTTGTTTCAAATCCTAAAAACTCAGCACCCAGACCATCGGGGTTCTGTTTCGCGAGTCTTGGCATCGCGGGGTTGAACTGGAATGGGGGGTTGGGGGGTTGGGGGATGGGGGGGGCGTCTTGCGCACAATGCAGTGAGCCGAGAAGCCAATTTGGCCTGTTCCAGACTGGAGGACCTCACGGACCGCGCGGGAAACGGTCGAGTTTTGACGTTGGACAACGAAAAGAGTCGGAGCGTCTCGGAAAGTGCTGGCAAAACGACATGGACACGGGAAGAGCCAAAAATCCGGGACTTCCCATGCCCCAAAAGAAAAGACATGGTAAACCCATGACCAGGGGATTCACATGGATTCACTCTCCGAGGCTCAAAATATCAAGTCACATGATCCGCAAAGTACGTGAGATGGATGGGTTGGATGTGATGTTTGTCATCGATCAGGTGGTTTGGGGGGGGAAATCCACAGACCAAAACCTTGCACAGAGCGCCTTAAGAATCCTTGAGATATGCTTAAGATGTCAATCATTTGAAGTGCAGAAGATCTTTTCTGTCAAGAGTCGAGTTCCGAACTCCACAATGCCAAGGCACTGGTGGCTTTTTTGGTATGAGAAGCACTACATCGAAAGAAGCCAGGTGGACATGAACCACATCCTGGAATCCTTCGCAAAGCGATGTCTTTCAGGTGCCGTGTCCCGAAAGAGAGTCACTGGCAGACACCCGTCACTTGACACACTACAGTACGTCCTCTTTAGTTCGTCTTCTGCCGGCGAATCGTGGATCTCTTTTGCAATATGTGTTTTCTATGAGCACAATCAATCATCATCCGCTCGGAAAAAGTGTCAGATCACTTTTGATTGGTGCATCTCTTTATGTCACTTTGCATCCCGACTTTAGAGCCAGTCAACCTGGCACCGTCACTGATCAGCTGGGCCTTCGAAACAAGTGCCTACCTGGGCTCCGAACCCCAGTTGCTGGTAGAACTTCTCCCCCAGTGTCTCGCCGATCGCCACGGCCCAGATCTTCACCTGCGCTGTGCGCTGTGGCGTGGAGAGGTCGACCTCTGGGAGGTGCCGTTTGGTTCGACGCGACCTCCATGGGACTGCAAAAGAACAAGCTACATGCCCCACCCATGTAGACCTGGGCCGGCCGGGGAATTGTTCGTCGCACAGGCCTTGGTCCCGGTCCAATCACCGTGAAAGTGAACGAAAACACCTGCACAGCGCCACTGCGCCTCACTACTTCCGGCGAAGATGCAGGTGCAAACTGCAACCATTCGAGGGCTGAAATCTTAATCCTACTCGGCAAGAGACAAGATCCCCATCCCTAGCCTTTTTCCCTGGCTTTGTTGAAGATGCAAGAGGCAAGTGCATCCTTAATGTAACCTTCAATATCAAATCTGCCACGGGTTGCAAAGAATGATTCCTGGACGGTATCAAAATGTAAAATCAGACTGTGCCACAAAATTATGGTTATATTGTTATATTATATATACTTTGTATGCTCATATATCCACTCAGACACCCCTAGCGTCATAAAGGCACCTCATCGCACACGACTTAGTCTGCAAGCAAGAAACTCATGCCACCATGCTTCCCCTTATCCCCTTGGCGATCCATCCACCATCACCCCCATCCAAAGCATTGCATCTTCCAACACCTAGAGGAACACCCATCCACCTAGGAAGAAGGGAAATCCATCCGCCATGATCCCCATCCCACACTCCCCACAAACCGCTCCGTTCGCCCTAGAGGCCCACCTGCTCATCTTCCTTGCTTTGGTTCGAGCCACCCATCTCCATCACCTACGTCGGTCGTTTGCCGAGAAGCAGTCCTATCGAAGGCGGAGGAGCCCCAAGTTGAGGTGCTCAACATTCCATGGACTTTCATGACAGTTGGGTGATGTTGGGTGTGAATTTTAAGGAGAAAGCCCCAGCCAATCAATGTTGATCGATTTTCCCTTCTGACCAGGGAACTGGAAGGTCTCCCGATCACTGTACACCTCCAGTTCACACCAGCATCCATTTCTGTGGACTGCACTGCTGCTGGATCTGGACACCCAGACAGGATGGTCCAGGGAGGCTTCAAGCGAATTCGACCGATACGATGAACGGCATCGCTGCGAACGGAGCGTTCGGACGCTACGAACGGGGCTGGCATCGCTACGAACGGAGCGTTCGGACGCTAGTAGGTTGGTGGCACCTTTCTTCGTCACTGCTCGGACCAGTGTTGCAACCGGATCTTCGTCCTCCAAACCGCGGATGACCACGACGGATGGGAGACTCCAACGATACTGATTTGGGGGCTTTGATGTGGCAGTGGAGCCCCGGTCGCCCTGGATGGGTCAACCCCTCCAAGCCCGGTCGCCCTGGGTTCTGTTTCAGTGTTGGGCGGGAAAAGCAGGGTCTCCCTGGTTGGACCCGCGGCCACACTGCCGATATCACTCACCTCGCCTTGCTTCACCCATATATCCTTGACCCATAGCCTACAGCCTTTCGAAAACGACTAGATTCAACATGGTTGAGTTGGTTTCGTTCTCTAAAACCAGTTAAAAAAGAAAAACAACGTTTTGGATTAGACTCAGACTCTTCAATCATTCGTGCTTGGAGGGGCTTCTATGGGCTCTTTCCTCCTCGGCCATGAGTTCACCATGAGGAAACCAACTCATCCAGGCGAGCTGCCTGAAAGCACCTGAAAGCCATGACTACACCACATCGGCATCACTGGATGCGCAGGATCCACCTGCGCAGATGGCAACTCGGTGCCTGGTCAGAGTCAAAGGCGACCAGAACGCCCAGGGCACCTGAAATCGGGGCGCGGCACGTGCTCGAGCAGATGCGAAAGGACTCGAGGGAAAATCCAAGAAATGCCAACGACATCCTTCGTCAAGAAAGGCACGTGCTCGGGCTAGACAACAAAGAAAAACGGCCGGAGGGTGTTTGAGAATAGCACTCATGCCATCAGCCATCTTGGGCCGGTTTGGATATTGGGAATCGCCCCGTTTATCAAAGACCATCCGTGATCTTGGGAGCTTTGACAGATTGTTTGCAAGCCGTGCTTCCCTTAATCTCCCCTATCTGATCTTTGGAATACACCTGGTCATTCAAACCCACACCAGATCGAGCAGATCGCTTGCTTCACCCCATCATCGGTCTCTGTCCTCCTCGCGTACGAGGAAAAGACCCCATCTGATCGCTGAGTACGGCGATCCGGATCTTCTAGAACTCCTAGACCTTGAGATGAAAAAACAATCAATACCTTTGAGTATTATTGAGCATATCCCATTCCCTGATTTATATCGTGGATGATGATGGTTGGTTAGCTAGGCAGGCAGGCCTTTCTCCAAAAACATCGTGATAATTGGGACACCCCCTCAAAAAATAGATTAGTGCATCTTGTAAACTACCTAAGGCGTTGGGAGACAATGCCTTCTCTTGCAGGTGACAAATAGGCGTGTGTCGGCGTGTTTTCCATTCTTCCAAACCTTGAGGAAAGATAGGAAAGTGTGCCTCATATAAAATAGATCAGTCCATATCTTCAGTTTCCATTGAAGACTCTGACGCACAGCGCGCGGCCCCGCCTGCGTCTTGCGCATGCCGGGCCTGCGCCGTCGAAAAGAGGGCGAGGATGAATCCGATGACTCCCTCCAGATCCCGAAAAAGCCAAGATGGGATCCTACAGCGAAATTGGATAAAACTTTGAAAAAAAACATGTGTGCAATAGGAAAAGAAAGCGTTTTCCAAAGGTTCCATTCGACCCGGTTCCATGTGGTTCTCAGAACCGAGATATAGAAGGTCTCGATCCTGCACCCCCCCTAGGGCTGTGCCTAGGCTGGTGTGGGATGTGGGCCATCTGCTCCAAGAGATGGGGACTTGGGAAGACTTGGGGAACATGGCAGAACATTTGAAAGTTTCAAGTTGGTGGAGATCTGGCTAATTAACTGGGGTGCCCAAGGGACATGTTCAGATATGTCAAGTGCCCTGTGTCCTCACTTATTTCCAGAATATCTCCAAAGGGAACGCTTCAGTCAGGGGGGGCACTACATTCGTGCAAGTTCAAAGGGTTGGGTTTGGAGGAGAAAGCGACCTTCGGCAGCTGGACCCCATAGAAAGCGACCCTCTGCCAGCACCGAGTTTGGGTGGTTGATAGACACCCATACACCCCTCCAACCACCCCTCCAATGTCTTCTCATCCACCCCTTGGGTACTGGTGACTACTAGCAATCCAAGTATATTGAAAAATAATCCACTAAGCAATCCAAAAAATATGACTGCTATCCAGCTTCTTCAGTTCGTTACCTTTTGAAGGTTCCATCCAGTGACCCGTATAGGAGGCTTGCTTGTGACCGAACCAACCAGGTTATCAAAAGGTCAATTGAAGAACCAGGATAGTAATACACACAGTAATCCAATGATAATGTCTTGTAGCATCTTGTAGCTTTCCACAAACGAAAATGGATCTCATGGACCCCCTAGGCCCTTCTCACCGCTGCCTTCTCCACGAAGGTGCAGTTTCCTCTTCGCACCTCGAGCGAGGGACTGAGGGACCGACTCACCGAGTCGCTGGCTTGCTGGGAATCAACAGAATTTCTTGGAGTACTCACCCTGAATGGAAGTGGTATGGTCTTCCTTGCGGGGCCATGCCATCCACTTCCATGTTCATTTCATTGCAACTTCGGATTAATGATTGGTCTAAACGAAGGGGGGCGAACGGTTTTTCCCCTTTCCTTCACCGACGGCCCATGAGGATTCTCCGGAAGTGTAGTACAAGGTGACACCCAAATAGATAGTGGCACGGTCTCCCAAAACATGTTTGGGGGGGGCCAGGAGTCACAGAGCGTGGGGTGCCTAACTTGGAGGAGAACGGCGTGCCTAACTGCGTGCCCAGAACATCACACTCCACGGCCCCTGGATGGGACGAACCAAACCGCCCCGACATGTGACTCATGGGGAATCTGCTTTTCTATCTATGACTCCACCAGTCCATCCGCATCTGCCTACGGCCCAAGGTGGGCCCTAGTAATTGGGATGACATTCATACCCAATCCACAAAAAAATGGCACCCTGACACAGCCAGAGGTCTGTTGGAGAAGGTCTTCTTCTCACACATGTCATCACATGTCGCATCGCATAGACTTCATCAACAGTATAAGAGAAAACACATGACCAATCCAGCCAACGTGATGGTATTATATATATATACTTTAATTTGTTTTTGGCTCTTGACTGGTATCCCCTGACACGATTCGATAGAGGAGGATTTTAAAAAATGTAAAAAACACATGTGGATAATGTGGTTCTTTTAGGTCGCGGTCCACAACTAGATGGTAAAGACATGGAATCCGTCCTCTCATTGCTCCGGTCGTAGCCATGTCCTTTGTTCCCTTCGTAGCTTGTAAAGACATGGACCCTTGCGGAGCTCCGTCCCCCTTGGAATCGTCTGTCGAAGGAAGACCTCACCGTGTCGGACATCGTGTCCTGTTGGGCTCCACGCCAGGCTGATGGAATTCCTCGGCGTCGCGAAAAATGCGTCCGCGTGGAACAGTGCGGAAGGGGGGGGGGTTGGTTCCTCTTCAGTCCAGTCTCCGCATGGTGTTACAATCTCACGCATGAGGTGGTTTGAAGCACCTCCCGAAAAAATTGGGTTCGAGATCAAGACCCTTGGCAGCGAAGTGGCTCTTTGAGGGGTTCCTTCTCAAAGACTCCATATGATTCTTAAAAAACTGCGATGTGGCTTGTGAACCAGAGACTCGGATTTGACCGATTTGGAACCCTTCCTTCACCGCCACAGGAGGTGCAAACCCTGACCTTCTTCTGTCCAACCATGGATGTGATGGAGTCCGAACTGGCCGAGGCTCGCTGGGAGCTGGTAGCTCTTGCAACCAATGGCATCCTCTGAGGGAGGCACCTCAGACGAGTTCAGAGCTATGGATCCTACCAGCACTGAATCAGTGCGTTTCTCCATGGATCCTACCAGACGGCAAGGGACTCATTTGCGACACCAAATCTGACTCATTTGCGACACCACCACCCCCCTGTATTCCTCTCATGTACGACACCAAATCTCTCTCATTCGCGACACAGACACATACACACATATGATTGCAAGCATTAGGTTGGGTGGGACATTAGGTTGGGGTGGGGTGGGGTGGGGCATTAGGTTGGGTGGGGGGGGGGGGGGGGGTTTAGGGGTGGGGTGGGACATTAGGTTGTTGGGCTTCAGAGTTTAGAGTGGCATTTGGTGGAATTGGTGTGGAGCTGGATTGGAGCTTTATGACTTTATGAGAACCAAGCAAGGGCCCAGAAGCACACAGATTCTCTAAAAGAAAAGCTCTCCGCGTCACAACTGAGAAAAGCTCTCCGCGTCACATTCGAGACAAAAAAACGCGTCACAACCGAGACCCTTTCCCTACCAGACCCACCCAGGGCTAGGCTGGTTTATAGAGTCCCCACCCCAACATGCGTCATCAGCGGAAGGACTCCATGCGTCATCAGCGGAAGGACTCCCAAGCTGTGTTTCTGCTGTGTTTCTGCTGCAGCAGGGCAGCTGTCTTGGCGGCACTGTGCACACATGCCTCATTAATTCATTGATTCATTGACTTTTCAAAACACATGACTGTTGTTTTTACCGCGTTCTTTGTCCGTTTCACAACATGGTCATCGCCACATGTCCGTGTCATTGAAGAGTCCTGTGTCATGGTGGTGGCGGACCGGGGGGAAAAGATCTGAAGGTCACTCACAAGTTCACAAGACAGGCTTGGAAAACAAGGCTACTGACTAAGTGGTTGCCGTGTGAGCTGCACATTGCAGACCGAAACAAACCATAACAAAAACATACAAACAAAGTCTTCCTGCAAAACACAACAGATCCGAAATATTGCAAAACAAACCTCCGTGGCAGCTTCGCTACCATCTAAGACCATCTGTTTTGCGTGTATCAACGTGTGTCTTATTTCCTGTAGCAGGTAATAGGACACCCCCAACATCTAAGACCATCTTGTTTTCAGGAAACGCTTTCGAATTGACCGCTCCGACGTTCCTCTTCAACCGCTCGGCTTCACCGAGCGGGGCACGAAGACCTCAAGCTCCACAGGCTCCGTGTTGGTCTCCGGGTGATCCCCAAAGGCGGCAAAGATCCTCGGTGGGGTTCGGGTGGGGCCGTTTGAAACGACGGAGACGAAGAATGCGGAAAAAAAAAAGAAGTTTGGGCACGAAGAATGTCTACGCGGAAAAAAAAGAGAGGAATGCGTTAGTCCAAGATTGATTCTTTTGTTTCAACAGCCACAGAAACCCACCCCAAAAGAAGTGATAAACCTTGTTTTAAAAGTTACCAGCACCTTCCCACAGGTCTCCTTTGGAGGGTTGTTAGGCCCTAACCGGTTTCAATTGGTGACCTGTGAAGTCGGTGCTGGTATGCAGGAAATAGGGTGGAATCTGCGAAGACCCAGGGCCCCTGCTCGGATCTTCAGTCGCAGATCCGACACGGACATCCAAATTCTCCGAATTCACGGGTCTCGGGACGGCAAGCGAAATCAGCAGGAGGGAAAAAGAAGTCGGCTGGAGACACCTACATCCACCCGAACAAATTGCTTTTGGTCAAGCTCCAGGAAAAATCATCTCATACTGACTCATACCACGATCATTCATATTTTTGGGGATTGCCGTTGAAGGCCCTTTTGAACCTTGAAGCTCCTGAGCTTCATCTCACTGCCAAGATATGGACCGCATACTGCCTCAAACCTCTGGCCTTTCCAACACAGCGCGTGCGGCACAAGGAATGAATAGAAGGGCTGAAGGGCAATCCAAAAATATTACAATATGATACCATATACAGTATATATTAAATTCTGGTGTGACCGGTTCGATGTTCTCACAAGCACCGTTCAAAGGTCCATTCTCATGGCCGTTGAAAAACCATATTCTTCCGAGACCGAACCAACCTGAGAACCGAACCGCCAAGCCGCACACGGTACCCAAACCGATACCCGATACCCGATACCCGAAGCATACGCAACCGCAGAAATATGACTCTACATATTACAGTATGGGCGCTGTGTCTTTTGTGGTATAGACTTTGTCTACTTGCTGAAAACCTCTCAAGACATCACCCGACCTGTAAGATAATTTAAGACCACCTAATCTAAGACCCATCTGGAAACCTGCGGGTTTCCATCTCCTGTTTCCACCAAGTTGGGGGGGCACCTGTTTCTACCAACCTTCCGCGGTTGTCCGGGTTTCTGGGGCCTCCGAGCCCGACGTAAGTCCCCGCCAGCGAGGAGGGCTCCTTCACCTCGACCGGTCAAGTTTTAGTCCGCTGCATAGTCCAGCCGTGCCCAGTGCCCGGTCGGTGGGGTGGGGTTGTGGGAACCCAACTTGGGCGTTTGGGAGAAGTGTCTCGCTCTTTCTCGGCCCGGGAGGAAAGCCAAGGTTCGGCAAACCCAATGGGCGTCCCAGATTCTTCGGGGCCTTCTTAGGCATATCTGGTCATGAATCAGACCTTCTTAGCCCATGGTATAGAGAACACCTGGTATGGACCCTCCGACTCTCATGACATGTATCTGTATCACTGCTTGGCGGTATGCGACAATCTGCGATGGGTCGCCCCATGTGATGGGTACCGTGCGACGGTTCAATAAAAAAGGACGGCATGCTCTGCTAAAGCTCCCTCTGGCCGGAGATCCTTCTGCCTGTAGACTTCCACCGCTTTCAACAGAATGAGGAACTGAGGAAAGCCATGGAAAACCTCGTTTCCACGAGACTTCTTGCTACTCACCACTCACTGCTGTGCAGCTCTACGCCAGGTGACTGAAAGAACTGCCACCTGGGCGGCCTGAGCGCTTTTGGCGCGAAATAGGGACACGGTGCAACGAGTGGAGTGATGCCACAGCTTCGGGAAGTGATTGGTGGAGCCCTAGAACTCCTGAGGTCGAAAATCCCCACAGCAGGGAATACGATCTGCTTGTGGATGAAATGAAGGTTCTTCATCCCTTCAATCCCTTAGTCTTAACTCTACCCAAGATTCATGTTGGATGATACAAATGTTCATCTAGCCTGGGGTAGAAGGGAATTTCGACATCCTCTGTCTCAACCCTACACAAGACTCTTCTTGACACTGTGACAGATCAATGATCACCATGTCAACGTGGTGCGCGGACATCGATCATCTGCCGCTTTCGCCTGCCCTATTCCCAGGGCAGGGTCTTTGGCGTATTCCCCCTCAGAGGGAATGGATGAGGTGATGCTTTGCGTGTAAATAGGATGACATGATGAGTCCCCATAGACTGCTGAAAGAGGAACAGATCGGCCAACCAAGGCCGATCTGCGAGAGAACCCCCTTGTGAGCAATAGCATGTCTTGAAAAAACACCCCAGCGCTTAACCCTGCGTTTGGGTGTTGGGAGATCGGTAGATCTCATGCAAAAAAAGGCTAACTGGTGGCGACAGGTCAAATCGTGTCAAGGAATATGGCTTGAATAAGGGTGGCTGGATTTCAAGGAATCTTGACCGGAGGCTCATTCCCTCCCTACGAACTCACCAGTCGATATCAAAGGGGCAAGAAGACTCACGGGTTCGTTCGCATGTCACAATACTGCTGGTAGGAACTTCTGATTGTCCATCAACAAGCCCGCCCAAAATAAGAACATGCACAAAAGGCCGGCGAGTGGCGAGACACATTTTCTGCCTCCATTGCAGTCTGAAAATGAAGGTCAACCCTTTTGCATCTTTTAGAGGTCTATAACGAAAATGAATCCCTACTATTAAAGGTTAACAGGTTGACTGACTTCTGCATTCTCAGACAAGTCTACCGCCGGGGCTCCTCACGGCCAATGGCAAGAAGAGCCTCATGACGCACGACGCACAGACGATGTTCAATTGGTCAATGCGGCACTAGATAAAAAATACACAATCAAGTGAATCTTCACCTGTCACCTACTCAAGATGTGGGGGTGGCTGGTTTTGCAGTTTGCTTGTGTAGTCAAATGCCGCACTCATCAGTACCCGCAATAAAAAATGCCCACCACTTAGCAAATTGACCAAACATTGATGCTAAATGTCCAACACCTTGGTGCAAACCGATAGACGGTTTCAGATGAAGAGGGATTGTGCAACCTATCTCTGAACCTCTAAAAAGAACTCCTCCCAGTACTACCTAGAAAAACCTTGACTCTGAATGTATACTGAATAATTAGACCCCCAAATAGATGTTTAAAAAAGTAGATTCCCACTAAAATGTATTGGAAACCATTTCTGGCAAGCACTATACTGAAAAACAATCCCCTCCTTCTCGCTGGACACGCACTTTTCGGGGGGTCAGGACGATCGCTTTTCGTGGTCGCCGGCTGCTTGCATCCAGCCATGCAGGTCGATTCTGCAACTGAGCTATTTGTTCGGTAGAATGTAGACTCTTGATGAATAAGTTGAACATCCGTTCATATGGGGGAATGAATTAAGAGTCTACATCACAAAGCCGGAATCTACGAATTGGGACGGCAAAAACTGTGGGCCCTGTGATAGGCCTCCCATTCGCGTTTCGCATCTTTTTTTGCGCAACGTGAACGGCTTACGATCGCTATGATCTTGCAGTTGTTCATGATCTTGCCTTACCCCTTCAGGACCAAAAATGGCTCATCCTGCACGTTTGTCCCCGAAGCGACCGAGGTTTTGAGGCTCCGACAGCCATGTCCGCCACCTCAGAATCTGTTCAAAAGAGACATCTGCTGTATTTTCGGGCGGGCATGTCAACAAGCAAACCACCCAAATGATTTTATATCTCCAGTCCTGGGGGATCAATCAAACGCATACAAGGGTTGCCCAGGTGAAAAAAGAAAAGAATAAAAACGGATTTGGGGGGGATGAGCTTGCTCGCACGCGCAAGCCCAGGCAGCTGGGCGGTGCCCTTTCGGTGATTGATAGACCAACCAATCATGTAGAATCTTGAATTGATCCCCTATAGTAGTAGCAAAGGGCATCGCTACTAGGAGCAAGGGCATCACTACTAGGAGCAAGAAGCTACTAGTAGCTCCTGGCCTTACTACTAGTAACAAGAAGCTACTAGTAGCTGTTTGTCCAGCAAAGCCACCCCATTTGGAGTGTAAAAACCTCTCCTCCTCTCACATCCTCCGTCTGCACTCAAAAAGGGGTCGACTAGGGACATCCAAAAGCCACAAATTGGTGAAAGTGCACAAGATCAGGAGTGTGGCAATTTGGAATGAGCTACAGGAAAGTCCCAGTCCGCTGGCTATGACTTCGCGACGGCGACGACGAAACCAACCTTCATCCGCACAGCAGAGACTTAGGTCAGCGCAGGCTCAGGTCAGGGCACCCCTATCATTTGGATTGTAAAACCTCCGTAGATGGGGCCTTGAAATCATCAGTCGGATGGGCCGACTGGAAAGTGCGTGAGCTCCGGTCTTTTCAGTGACCGAGGTGACCCAGAAATTCTGCAGGGCCGGTTTCGACTGTCTGGAGGATGTTTTTGGGGGAATTCACCACTGGCATCTCGCCAGTGCAGTTTTGCAGAAGTACTCTTCAAAATGCCTCGGACATGTGCTGCCCTAGCTCTAGGCTACTGCAGCTCAAAAATCCAATCGAACGAGTTACAGGCTTCTATAGCCAGGTATACCATGGGTTTGGGTTGTACTTTTGGAGTTGTACTCCATTGAACTTCATCCCAGGCTTCCGCAACCTTCCACATCTGCCCTGTCGAGTCACATGGCTCCGCTCGGCGCTCGGCACATCCGCGGAGCGCGGTCCGCCGGCGCGGTCGGCTGTTCGACAGAGCCATGGTGCGCAGTGAGAGCACGGACCGGAAGGTGTCTGGCCACGTCAACCGCCCACAGCCACGTGCGTGCGTGTTCAGCGCACGGCTCAGGCGGCGCGCATGGTGTTCTTCAGCGTTTGGTGACAGGGGACAGCAACTCGATAGAAACAGGGTCCACACACGGTCCACAATGCTGTTTGCTGGAACGACCCATCTACCGATCTGACTTCAGAGATGTACAACCCATCAACTGATGAGGGTATCTGACTGCAGATAGTGGTACAACCCATCTACCCTTAGTCTATCTGACTTCAGATGGTTGATGCTCCCATCTGACTAAGTTTGCAATTCAATTCAGTGATGTCTCTGGGCGGGTCTATTGATACTGTGAAGAGTCTTTGGGAGGAATTTTTGCCCCGCACTTGTCAATTTGCTTGGATTTGCTCAAGCAACCGAGAAAAACATACCAAATCTTCCCCAGGTTTGGAGAGTGACCCAGGAACTAAAGTGAGAATCACCGCAAAACCAGGGCTTTGGGACCTGTCGACACCTACCAAAACACTGAACGCATCTGAGCGCCCTAATTTCTTCAACGCGAACGACCACTGAGTGGTCTCCCTCATCGGCCCGATGGCAGCGTTTGCTGCGATCCCCCTCGGCTGCGGGGCGCCAATTGGGGTCGACTGCGCCAGTGGAACGGCCTTCCGATGGGCACCAATGGTGGACCATGGTCACTGACGAAGCAAACGGTGGCTTAGGGTCGTTTTTGGGGGGGTGTCGGTGCTATCAACGTAGCATAGTATGTGTTCTTATTGTGTTCTTTCTGGTCTTGTTGAAATTCCATTGACTCACTATGAGCCAACAAACGCGCTGCGATCTGGTCGCGGCCAGGCCGAACTCCGCACCGTATCCCATAGACTCGGGACTACCATATTTGCTACCCCAGAAAGATGCCAGGTCCTAAAGGGAACTGTTGGCCAACCCCATGCCGTTCTTGTGTTTTGAAAAAGAAGTATCTTGTATTTCTATATGTAAACGTATATATATATATATATGTGATATATGCCATATTCATGGATGGTCGTCCTGTGGGTTCCTTCGAATCGGAAGGCGAGCCCTGGGCGAGCGCCGTTTGGGAAGCGCAGTTCAACTTTGAAACTGCTACCCAGCTTCCCATCCTGAAACAGGATGGACGGAAGCCAGGCCCGGTCATAGTGATACATCAACCCTGGGAAGCTGTGTACCGAAAAACATCTTCCATCTTTGGGCAATCTGCCTCTGCACCTAGTGGTCGGCTGAAGTCGCCAGGTACACAGAGTGTTGCAAATCGCCAGGTGCTCAGCCTTTTTCACATCTGTCTCAAGGCAGAAGTCTTTCAGCCAAATGAGCGGGTGTTTTTTCTCGCCAACACAAACCCCCAAAGATGCCCAAGGGGGTGTATGTCAGATCTAAGGGGCTGGATGGAAAGGCCCTCCAAAACTTTTGGATGTGAACAGTAGTCACGTAAAAAATAGGGATTTCCAGAATCAAACCGTGGAATGGGGGTGCTTAGAACACTTGCCTATAGATCTGTTAGCAGCTCGTGGATATAACGATGGACCCGCTTGTCAGACCCTGGCCATCTGGCCAACCGACACATCCTGCGATCACGATGTCCGGTGGATTCCTTACAAAAGCGTCTCTCCGAACTTCACCGAAGAAAACTTCTTGTTGGCGAAGTCAAGGACAAGGACCGTCCAACTGGAGAGTTCCCTGAACCCTGGACCGTCTCAGACTCAGGGGTCTTTTAGAGACACACCAAATCAAGAAATCGTATACCCTAAGAATCTGTACGGGCCTGACTCTTGACAGCTGTCGGACCCGACCTCTGCGCAGGGGTCCGGACTTGGTTCCCAAACCCTATGTATTGCTTCGGGTCCGGATGCTGAGGGGATCACTGAAAATGGGAAGTAATTACAGCTTAATTCCTAATATTTAAACTTAATTCTAATAGCTTATTGTTACTACTAGTAAGGCACCTGTTACTACTAGCGTGGCACCTGTTACCTTCCCTTCGACCTCGCGATCGGATCCCGAACTCGCAGGCGACTGCGCACGCACGTCGAGGAAACGCAGGGACCGGAGTTTGTGGGGAGATGGTAATGGAAGGATCGAAGAGTGGTAAGGTCTACGATTTCAGCAGTTCATGTTCCCAAAGAATGCCAACGGATTTTGGAACTTCGACCTCTGCTTTAAAGAAGGCTGTGCCGGCTGCACGAATTGAAGAATATGAATGTGCGCAATTCCTTTGTTGACGGCAGCATTGATCAAGATATCTGCCCTTGCCAACAGGTGCGGTTGAATAATAAGCTGATATTGTGAAATGGAAGCAATGTGTGGAAGGAAATGATGGTTTATGAGTCCAATGGAGCAAAGAAAAAAATGTAAGCTCATTTTGTGCAAAATACATGGCTCATAAATTCAAGGTCGATCATTTCAGGCTCTCAGTTCATATAAGCTATAGCACTTGTCAAAGGAGGAGCAGACTGGACGTATTCTTCCATAATCCCCAAAATGACCCAGTCAAGTCAAGTCAAGTGTTCTTGAAAGAAGGAAGTCCTGTTTCGCCCCTCCAAAAATCCCCAGAAAGAATAGGAGAGATTCCTGAGAAACCGCCAAGTCTAACTGGGGTCGCCAACCGCTAATCTCCAACCCAAAAGCGATGGCCTCCAACCTACTAGCAATGACCTCCAACCTAAAAGCGATGGCCTCCAACCCAATAGCGATGGCCTCCAACCTACTAGGAAAAAGACATGGAACTTGATTTGTCCGTCCCATTTGGAAGTTGCGCAGCGTTCTGCTTCGCTCAAGCCTCCCAGCGGATGCCTGGCGAGCGAGACACCGACAGCACACCACAGCACAGCACCCTGGAATACCCTGAGATCGGTATGGCGATTGAGGTCGAAGAATGGATCAAGTAGGCTGTGTTTGAATTTGTCAAACAACTCGAGTGCGGATTGTACAAAACTGCTGGATCTGGTTCACATCAAGAAAATGGTCAAGGAGGCTGTGCCATCTCAAACCACTTCACATCCATATGAGGACTCATGGGTAGAATCCTTATAAGAAAGAGATACGAAAAAGGCAGCATCATGCATCGTAACAAACGGCCGCAAAAGGTATTGGCCCGCACGGAAAGAGCATCGCTATGTCTACGTATAATTCGAAACATAGCTTCATCCCTTCAACCAGTGGCCTCCCCATCATCCTTGAGCTGGATCTCCCTCGAGTGGTCCCAAAATAGATCGAAACGGCGTCCAATTCTCTTTAGATGGAATCTGCTCTTTTATGCAAAGGCCCTCTATACGGAGAGTTTATTCATAGGCCCTGGGAGGGCAAAAGGGGTATTCAGAATACCGCCCCTTGTGGGTCCTGGTCTATTTGGGGATCACGTGCTGCTCGACGCCCTTTTTGCTCCGGCGGGTCGTCTCACGTGCTGCTCCAGGCTTCGTACGGGAAAGGATTCCTGGGCGGAGGAAGGATGTGTGACGAAGGAAGTGGTTCCGCAATGGAGAGCTCCACGGTTAGGGTGGCGTAAGAAAACGGTTGAGAGTGGTTGAAGAATTGCCCCAAATTATTGCGGAGCTATTAACATTGCAGCAATCAGCAGACTTCCAGGATGTAGAAGCATCATCAACAAAAAGGCACAAGGCAGGCAACCACCTGCAAGTTTCTACATAATGATGTAATTTGTAATTAGTAAATAGTTGAGTCTGACTTTGTGAGAAATCTGAAGAATCCGATTATTACATCGGTTTACAATTGGTTTTAAACCTAGGACCCAAGACTTTTACCAAGAAAACCCACCTCCCAAAGTCAGCCCTTTGGCTTCCGGCTTGATCGGAGGGTTTCGTCTTCGGGTGAACGAGGCACGCTTTGGCGAAGTGCCGCGCATAGACGTTACTGAGCTCCACCGGCCCCACCAGCGCGCTGCGCTTCTTCGTCTCGTTGACTCGGAGAAGATGACCGGGCCGCGCGCGAAGGGTTGGAGGAGAGGAGCAGTTGAGGTGTGGGAGGATTTTGGGGGACACAGATGGACACAAATCAGAACCAGTGAACAAATGCAACATGGGGTTCCACCACTCTTCAGAATGTACCATCACTGGTGGATGGAATTGGACTTGTCCAAACCGCGACGGCAAATCCATGATCCTCCCTGGAACGGCTGAAAATAGGATGGAGAACGGGATCCTTTCAATTAGGCCGTTGGAGTTTGCCCCGGCTCCTCCTTTTGACAGCCAAACCCGTAGAGAGTTGTGGACGCTGAAGATGATGGGTTCATGGATCCTGCGATGGTTTCACCATGTGTCGGATGTCCTTACTCTTTTTTTGGGGCCCAATAGGGTTCACGCCTGAGTATGGTTCAATACCACCGCCAAAAGAGGCACATGAGCACCCCTGCTGGGTTGATCCATCAAGCCCCGTTCTCAGTGTTCGATCTAGTCGAGTGGCTGTTCATTAGTTGACCCAACCAGGTGAAATATGTTCAAACCCTGCCCCGTGGAGATCTTTTGGATGATTGCAATTGCCTGTAGGGCAAGGGACCTCTCCATTTGTTCCCAACCAGGCGAACTATGTTCAACCACTCGTACGCACGAGTTGCTCAGCGTCATGTTCACAGAGTATGACCTCGGCCGTGGATGGCCATGGTCTGGGCGTTATCGCCATCGACGGAGACCGGAAGAGTAGGAGGAGGAGGAGGAGGAGCAGGAGGAGGAGGAGGATGGTAAAGGAGGACAATGACAGATCACGAGGAAGGTTGACTTTACTCAAGACCTGCATCTGTCCAAAGCGTTCCAACAATGATTTCCTCCGTTCACCCATCATTCCCACACCTGATCAATACCTGTTCACAGCATCTGAAAACGCGTGGCATCCACCTACCCAAGTCCGGACGCCAGTCCGGACGTCATCTTTGAAAGGAGCCTCCAGTATGTTCAAAGATCAGTCAAACGAGTCACATGAGCCCCGTAGCTTCTGTCCCTCTTGAAAACATGAGGTTTTGCAGGCTCGCGTTTGTACTCCATCAGCCCAAATAAGGGGCTCTATGTCTATCGCCATGACAAGCATGTTTTAAGCACCCGTCAGTTGGTTGGTTCACCAGGAATTGCTTGAAAGTCGGATTGAAGGCCGTTGTGTCTAAAATCTCTTGACTGCTTCTTCTGCCAATTTCAGGAAATGAAGACCCAGCTCCCTGCCCCATGATGGATCATGATGGTTCTTTCCACAACCCTTGCTCCCTACGTCCGAAGAACAACCCTGCACCCAGGACGATGAGCAGACCCCACAACCCTCCAGACTCCCACCCAACTCACAGAACCTCAGAAAGCCCATGGGTCCGGTTGTTTTTGGTGGCATGGTACCTGGCAAAATCCCCCCAACACTCGATACAAGTCCAGTCTAACCTGCTAAAACCTGGTCAAACTGACCTCCTTGAGTCGTGTTTTTGTATGACCAACTCCAGTAATTTGAGGTCTTTGACCTGTAGGGCGAACACCTCTCCCCAAGTGCTTCTTCTCCCAACGCACTTCGACAAACCTCAAATAACAGGAAAACAAAAAACAAAAAAACGCTGCCCTGCCGTGACGCGGCTCGCGCTGCTTGTGACTCTTGAGCTCACAAACCACCTTCAGCTCATCCTCCTTCGCCGCACCTGGTCTCGCACCCGGTGCCGCTGGCCCCTTCACCAGGGCCGTCACATGACAGTCGTGCGGAAGTCGGCTGGAAACTTCCAGCCACTGGGCGGAGGAGGGCGGAAGGTCCGTCGGACGTGGTTTTGGCACGTTTCAGACACCAGCGATGCCCTGGGTCGGAAGGTGTCCGATGTAGATGAAGTGATGGATTTTTCTGAGGGTCAATAGATAGATGGGTCAACAGCGCCTCTCAAGCACTGCCCAAGATCTTTCACGGTGAGGAGAAAAAGAGCCATGGGTTCCATGCATGACACCCCTCCCTATGTAGAATCTTGATGAATCAAACCCCCCAAGTTTGGAGAGGTTTTGCAGCCTGAGGCGTTCTATGGCGTTGTTCATCCAGATTCTACCTGATTGGTTGGTCTATCAGGCGCCCAGCCGCCCAGCCTGCTCTTGTAAGCTCATCGTCCAAACAGCTGGCAACCAATGAGTCCCACCATCTGGAGGTCTCATGACCGAAAGCCCACCAACCGTTTTCAGATGCTGAAGACAGTAGCTGAATCCATATATCTCTCTGCTACGGCACCAGTCCAATCAAAAGATCCCCTGCTATTCGGACTACAGGGACCCTCAGGTCACCACTGGCTTGGTCTTCGGAAACATGGTCCACCAACCATGGGTCAATGTTGAGGGTTCATGTGGTTCGTCTGCGGATGATCTTCATCCTCCAACCCCACTCCACCCACTCCAGAGAGAAGCTCTCTTCACCTCCAAGTGGCTCAAGGGCTTATGCAGCAGGAACCTGCACTGTGCCCAGACCGTATTCGGTTTTCCCGGCGCCGTCCACAGCACAGGCGCCGTCCCGTCGCTTTGGTCGTCGGCAAAGATGACATCCCACCAGGCGCAGAGGCCATCAATGAGGGCGTCGTGCGAGCGCGAGGGAAACTTCAAAGTGAAGGACATGCCTCGGTGCTTGGTCGGCGCTTGCGGCGAAGAGAAGAAACATTCACAACATCTGACAGTTGCGGGGCAGCCAAGTTCCTGCAATCACCAGTGGAAGGGTTGAGAATCAAAAGACCGGCAGTAATTACGTGTCCTTTTGGTCGGGTTTCTGGGCAGAATCCCACCCTTCCACCCGAACATCCCCACCGAACATCCCCTCCGGGTTCCCTGCCAACTCCCGAACCCCAGGGGGAACCCCTCCACCAGGCGTCGATCCCAGTGGGCAGGATCCTCCGGGCCCTCGAGATCCAGGAGCTCTTCCGGTGCCTGCGACCCGCGCGACCCGCGCGACCCGGTTCCAGCGGTGCGAACGGTGGTGCGGCTCAGGGTCTGGGTGGGTCCGGTGCTGGCTCTGAAGGGGGCCGAGCTTTCGGCCTGTGGGTCGATCCATGTCATGAATTCGGTGGAGATCCACCGGGGCGCCATGGTGGAGTGGGAAAGAAAAGGACTTCTGGATAAGATCCATCTCGACTCCAACAGCGACAAGACCTAACAAGCTCAAAGAGATGATTCTAAGATATTCTGAGATATTCTGCTCCAGTTTCCAATGGCATCATTGTTTCCTCCAAGTTTTTGGTGTTGGTTTCAGCCACATGCCTGCGGTCAACCGCCCAATGTCGCGTGAAAAACACGCGCCTCGTCTGGGGGTACCAGAAGTTGCTCAGGCTGGACTACATCTAGGATGAGCCTGAACAGGCAAAGGGACCAAGGGATGAAGAAGATTGCAAATTTGGGTAGCTGGCAGCAGAAATGGACCCTGGGTTGTCCATGCCCCAAGTAAACGACCACCCTTCTTTGAGCATGCCCCAAAATTCCCGAAGGAAGCGCTGCTGGCTGGAGTTTAGCGAGCTGGAATGCAACCAGACGGGCATCTAAAGGTACAGTTTCAACGGGGGAGCCTTGTCAGCGGCAGACCTAGCAAAGACTTCACAGCCATAAACACCAGCCATTCTCCGAAGGCAAACCCCCGCAGCATGACAAACGGTCAGAGAACAAACACCACCACCTGCATGCTCACCTGTTCCTGCCAAGAACGGTTTCGTTTGGCCAAGAACTCAAGACCTGGGAAGGAATCACAGACGATCACAGATCTTCTGTGGTCCATGAGATGAAAAGGTTCTGGAACTTAGGTGCCTTGCAAGAATTCCATCACATTGCACGAGGAGGTATCTAGCCTCGCTTGACTCTCCCAACTTGAGGGTGAGCTCGCTCCTCGGAGCTCCCTCCTCGGGTCCAGGAGCTCTGGTCCCATGTTGTGCGTCCAATGCATGGACTCTGCGCTTTTTTTTTCAGAAGGCCAGGGCTCAAGATATGAGTTTCCAAAGTCCTACTTACATCTACTTACTATCTCCCACTAGTTGGTTGCAGGGAATCTCTTCCAAGCAAATGAGCAAACATGAGCCATCCAACCCATCCCAGCCCTCCACCCCAAATTCTCTGGCAACCCCACTGGTAAAGCACTGGTGCCAGGCAGCTCCTTGCGCACTTGCTCCTCAGCAAAGGGCAGGGCCGAAGACAAGTCCAAACCCATGAAGTCCTGGGCGCCGGCGCCACGCCACCGGACAAGTCCGGTGCGGCTTGGCGGCGGTTGGTTTTGGACCGTCGCTGTGGGTTTTGGACCGTCAGGGTACCAGACCAAGGGTACCGCGTGGGCTTCTTGAATGACATGTGAGATGCGAACCACTCACATGGGCCCTCCCAAAGAAAGGCCCACATCAAAATGGAGCCCTGGAAGCCTCCACTCGCCTCTCCTCCAAAGCTGCATTGACCCGCCAAACCCACTCGTGAGTCGGGTCTTCACAGGCACCGAAAGAAGACCACTCGTTCCAAACAATTCAGCGACGGTCTGGACTTGGAATGTCCAGGACACCGGAGAAGAAATATCGCTCCCGAGCTTCCCCCCCAGTGGATTGGGATTTACATGGATTTACCATGACTTACCCAGCTCGCAAAGGAAAAAAACATTGACAAACCAAGTGAAGTTACCCAAATTCTCTTCCAAGTCTACGCAAGTCGCCTCGCGAGGTAGACAACCCAAGTCCAACTTACTCGCTCCACCGGTGCAGATTTCGCTCGCGAAGAACCACGCACTGCCTGAGGCGGTCTCCAGCTGGCCATTTCGCGATCCGAGGCTCGGTGGTCTGCCAGAAGCTGTGCCGCGCGCGCAGTTCAGCGCCCAGTGTCGGGTCGGCAAAGGGGGAAAGCCTCGCCGCGCGGACGAAAACCGAACACGTCGCCGTCTGACAGGTCTGTCAACAGGATCCATCTGGAGAATTGGGAGAAGAAAAGGGACGAACATGTCAAACACGGTGTGGGGGAGTGGAAACTCAAAGCACTTGAGATGAATATCGAAGTTTGTTCAGAGAAATGGAATCCTGTTTGCAACAAGCCACACCACTGGAAAACTCGGTTCCATGTTTTTCTGGCGTGGGGGAAGTGTGGGAAAAACCGTTGAGGAATGGGTCAGTTGCTGCCTCCCTTTCCTCGGTCCTGGGCTCTAAGGTTTTGCACTTTTTTTTGCACCACTTGTTCGTTCGTCAAATCAAAACACTTCCGATGTTCTCAGTCGCAAAGGGACAGGGATGCGATCCATGAGCATTGCCCGGGTGCCCAGAACATCCACTCACTTGGGGATTAAACACCACCCCTTTGTGACTCCTGGTGATGTTCTCAGTCATTGTCCCACTTTCATGAAGTTTCATGGGCCCCCCAGTCGGCGGATCTAATGACTGATGCCGACTGTTGATGCAAGAAATCCAGAACAACACTGCTGGGAAATGTGACAACTGCAGACTTTATTGGCAAGAGTGTAGATGTTGGCATAGAAGAAGCGGCCTTACCAGCCTTACCTTACCCTCGTTTGTTCATGCAAGTTCATTAAAGAATTTAACAAGAAACAGTAAATGTTGTCAGTGCGTGTCGGTGCCATGATAGAACATGACCCCACGGGATCTTTTCGTGAAATCGATCGAACTTCGGGTGTCATTGGTATCCGAGGATTCATCTCGAACGCTTCCACGGAATCTGAACCTCTCCAAGTCACTTGATCCGAGCTTGCGATGGCAAAATGAGGCCACCTGGCGATCCGAGCTTGCGGAGGAAGAAAAGGATCGCCTTGAGTCAGATCCAAAGAAGTGGCGATGCGGATCCAAACACATGGGATCCAAACATGTCGTAACCAACACAATCATTACACCCCAACTTCCAGTGTTCAAGGTCTGGGATCTTGCAAGTTTTCCTGACTGGCACTGGTAAAGTTATTAACAACAGGAACGTTTCTTCCAAATTGTGTGAAGCTCAATCATTGTGCAGCTGGACAGCATAATACAGCAAGATCCTCATCCTCTACAAGAGTCCACAAGTGTGGCCCGTGGCTATTGTTGGTGCGCAGTTTACTCAAAACTATTTGTTGTTCCCACATTGCGCAACGACCTTGCCTGGCTTCAGAAAGCGCTTGGCTTCGGTGACCACTTGCAATCCTACCTGCCGAGCCCAGCCAGAAAACGCCTATGATTGACACACACGCGCACGCGCGCACACACACACACACCAGAGAAAACAGCACGTTCAGCCCAGGTTAAAGTACAAAAGCCGGAGTAGTGGGGTGCAAATCTTGAAGGTTCCAAATGCACATCTTGAAGGTCCAAATCCTCCAAAAGCTCACGAGGTGCAAACATGTCAATTGCAAAAGCCGACGTGTGCTGACCTGGATAGTCCTGTAACGGCCTGAAGACATCTATAGCAGTAGAGAGTAGCTAGAAGCATTCACCGCTTCCGGCGCAGATACACCGAGTTGATCAGACTCGATATCCCATGATTGTGGTAGCTTCGTTGAGTGTGGTCCCCCTCAACTAATCACGCCGCATGCCGCACGGGTCCCTGCAAATACCGAAAAGTAAAACAAACTATAAAGACGATCCGGCAGGAACCCGTGACTCCAGGGTGTTCTTCACACACACACAAACACAGTTGATGATCTGCTGCAGTTTGAGGACCTGCATCATCTCAGACCTGCACTTTGTCTGACCTACGGCGCGCTGAGTTAAAAAAAGAACTCTGTGACCCAGTGGCCTCACCCACCAAGAAGTGAGAAAAAAGCTCTGAGACAATGATGTCGACAGAGCCCAAAGGCACATCCTCAGGAGACCAAAGGCACATCAGTCGGATGATAGTGATACTCTTAGCTGTGTAGGCTGATCCTTTGCTATGGGTGTAACCTTTAGTGACTCAGGACTGTTCGGGTCTAAGAGTGTGCCGAAATTCGGACAGTCAAGGTTTCACCATCATTCACCGAATCTAATCTACAATCTACAATCTAAGGTGGATCCGGGAGAACATGAACAAAATCCCGGGAACTTTGCACGGGATGCTTACCAAGTATCTCTAACCGACCCGTTGGCAAAGGGGGAAAACAGTGCGCATGCAGCTCTTGAGCTGGAAGGGAGTCCTTGCTTGAACACCCCACTTGCTTCTTGGAAAGATCCCACTTACAGCTGGAAGCTCATTATAATTAATGGTTGCGAGAGTTTTCGGTAGGTCTTGTGACTTGCGTAATTATGTGTCTATATGACTACAATGATCCTATGTTGAAAACCTTTGTTCGGTTGATCCTAGCCTGAACTGGAAGAGGATTCTTGTGTTATCCAGGTAGCTCACGATTTAGGAGCCTTACCTTTTTGTTACTAATCGGTGTCAATACGTGGGTCCCCGCGATGCCCTTCTTGACTTGACTGATGGACTGGATTGAAGCGGTGGTGCATGCCCATCCGTCGTTTGAAAGGGAAAACGGGGAGAAAAACGTCCCCACGCATCATCCCTATGCTATCAGCATTGTGGCAGCGGACACAGGAACCACGGAACTGACCCGTCCAAGCTGCGAGAACAAATCAGGAACCACCCGTCCTCACATGTTTCTCTGCCTCCGACGGTGTCCATGTCACTTCGCTCCCTGAAGAAGGTGTGATCCCATCACCTTAAGCCTCCCCTTAAGCCTGTGTTTTCCACTCCCCAACCTCCTCGACACGGCAAAAAATAGAAATAAAACAACTCGAGATCCGATCGGCCACTCCAGAATAACTATAAAACAACTGGAGATCCCGAGATCAACATCCGCGGTCCGTCTGTCCGCTCGGTTGGAGGTCTGTCTCCGGGACTTCCGGACATCCCATTCAGTTCGGTTCACCTCTTCAGTGATGTCCTCCAAGTGTTTAGGGATCACATCCAAAATCCCTGCAAAGCCATTGGCCCGACTCAGCCTGCGCAGAGAAGGTGGAGGATGTGCAACTGGTTGGCCTGGTATGAAGTTGCTACTGTTTCGGGTATACGGTATGACTCAGTAAACGGTATGACTATTTGACTGTTTGAAGTACTGGACTAGTAGGTGGCACAATCCCCTTCAAGTTTGCTGGTTTATATGGACCCCCCTCTGTCTAAGACATCTTGGGGTGCCAGTGCCATCTACTCTCAATCCACTATTAGAAGACTCGAGAAGTGACTCATTTCTGAACTGACTAGTTCTTCGCCGACCTATTTTAATAGCCACCGTTTTTGCAGTGGGTGTAGGAGGTCCGCTGCAACAACAGTGGCTCCTTGAGAAATCATCTGCGTACACAGGTGGTGCGTGAGAAATTTGTCGTTGGATCTATGATGAATGCTTCCAGGCCCCCTGCCACAGCTATCACGTGGACTCCTGAAATGGAGCCCATTTTTGTTGTGCAGAGAAAGGAACGAAAAAGTTGGACATCAATGCCCCATCTCACTCTGCTTCCTACTACGGGGTCAAGGGAGCTGTTCTTTCCTCGCTTTTTGGTCGGGGGAGACGTCCCCAACCCCCAAAAAGCGCAGGGGATCCACGGTCTACGGCCGCTTCGGACTGAAGAGATCACACGTTCCATGAGGTGTCTGGGCCCCGGGCCGTCTGGACCCAGACCCACGGAGCCGGCGTGGCATGGAGCGACGATCTGGTGACGGCAGGGGCGCCGCCATCGGACGTCAGGAGTTCGAAAGGCGGTAGATTTTCGACCCATCCACTGAGTGCGCCCTAGATGGGTCGAAAACCAGATGGGTCGAAAACCATTTTCGTCCAGTTGGTGTGGGTACCTGGAACTAGTGGAGGGGTGTTGCCCTCCCTTTGCCTGGAGGCCACACGCGCAATCTCCGACGAGCCCTCGATCGCATAGACCTGCCAACGGGCTTTCGGAAGCCCCAACATGAGGCGAACAGAAAAAAAAGGAACACGGTGGGTGGGTGGCACCAGGTGATCTCGGCGAAACCCACGGTGATGACCGTTTTGGTCAAGTCGTCAAACTGCTGACTCACCAGGGACCGAAGAAGAGCCGGAACCAGGAACCGGTCACGAACGGAAGAACCAGCGTCCTGGATTTCCCAACATGGATGTGGCCAGACCATATAAAACAATACAAAAGACCTTACTAAGCCAAATGTCTCGGTGGTGGAAGATGCACTTCTGCCAGTACAGGGGCCCAAACCATGCTAGCCCGTGTGGCCTAGTCGTCCCTCACGGTGCCCTCATGTGCCCAAACCGTGCAGGCCGTGTGGAAGGCCTTCTTGGCGCCGTATTTGGCTGCCAGCATTGCCAGAAAGCCAGATCCAGTGCCGATGTCCTGGGCTAGCATACTCAGCGGACGCACGGACAAGTCTTGAGTGGCACAATGGCCTTGTAAAGACAACTGAAAAAATGCCACCACGTCTAATGCATTCTTCACCAAATCATGCAGTGCCAACTCTCAGAAGAACAAGGCTTGTATTATATAGCATAGAAATTGAATGACATCTATAGAACTTCAAAACTCATCCCAGTTGTTTCTCATGTCGACTCGTCCAAAAATGCCGCAGACGTGGTCTCTGATCCATGAACAGGTCGGCTGGGGCTGGGGCGTGTGAAACTTTCCACCCCCCGTCAGACGGTCTAGGAGTCTAGGAGGGAAGGCTTCATGATCTTCATGTAGACTCTTTATTCACAAAATCCCCCCAAATGGACTGCAAAACCATATGCGTTGTCTTAGAAGGACCCCCTCTCAAACCCCCCCAGGATAACTATATGAGCAAAACCTCTATGAGCTTGGCAAAATGAAACAGAATCCAGAGTCTACCAGACCACCGACCAACTTCTCAGTTTCAAAAAGCTACCTGCCACACTGCCCACAATGGATGTGGCACCATACGCTCGCGCTTCACAGGGGAGACCTCCTCCGAAGAATAGGTGGAAGAGAAGGCCCCAGCGCTCACTTCATCGCAGCTGCTCACGTTCCGACCGAAAAGACATCGATCAGTGAAAAAACGATCACTAGGAACAAGGAAGCCACCAACGGGGCTCCTAGCGAGTCCGGAGCCGATCGGACGTCCGCTAGACGAACGAGTAACTTCACAGCCTTCACTTCATCGCCCCACCAGGGTCCATGGATTCGTCGTTTTCATCGTGTTCACCTCTGCACCGCTGGGGTCCGCGGCACCGCTCGGTCCGTGGCCGAAGGCGCCATGACCGTGGCGTTGGGCCGATGGCGCAGGGCACGCTCCAGCGCCGCGCGGTAGGGCTCGTTGCGCGCGGCGTCGCGCAGCATGCCCTCCTGGGAACCGGTTCGAGCGCTCCCGGTGGTCTTTTGGAGCACTCGCATGTCCGGACTGAAGAAGATCAGGCGTCTGTGCATGGTTTGGAGCTCTGAAACAGGAGTCTGCGCTGTTTTCGGTCGCATTCCGGTTTCAGGTTCTGGACCGAGGGCAAATGACGATCCACGAGAGCGTGGGAGCGTGGTTTGGGAGTTCTGTCTATGGGTGGGACTGGAGGTGGGCTAGCCAACACCACCTCGCCAGGATACAAAAAACCATCTCCCCCCAAAAACATCCAAGCCTCACGTTCCGCCTCCGGCAGAAAAAGGGACATCAGACGGTCTAACGAGTCTAACCATCTGCCTCCACTTCAGGCTCTGTTTTGCGGGGACAAGAGTTGTCGGGTCGTCGGTTTTTGGGGGAGACCTCCGAGTCCCAGCAGGGGGGCTGTGGTCAGGGTGTCAGTCATCGGAGCTCTTGTTTCAGAGCTCCGGAGAGCTCTGTTTCAGAGCTCCCCCCCAGTTCGACTCCCAGATCCATCCAACAGAAAAAGACCCTCAAATTACTGTAGATAGAAAAGTGGATCCCCACTCATTACTAATTGCAAGGAAGCCGCTTCTATCTATTTGAGGACCACTAAAAAAACCCATTTCTTTCTTCCAAACTTCAAAAAGGAGTCTCTTCAGTCACTCCTTACGATGGCTTTCGGGTATCACCAGACGTCTAGTTGCAGTCTGTTGTGGGCTTCCAAGTAGGTTTTAGTTATAACCATCCCCCCCAAAGTGCCCAACAAAGGATGTGTGACATGTGTGACATGACTGCCATTTCTGGACCATCGGTCAGGACCATCGGTCTGTTCTCTATCATGTTGGGCATTTCGCGAAATGCCGTGAGCGTTCTGCGCATCATTTCTCCTGGTTCTTGAGTTTGCCATAGTAGTGCTTGTAGGCATCAATCCGCGCAAAGCCGCGCGTCGCCCCGCCAAACCGCCGCGACCAACTCGGGCGACCAGTCGTGGTGGCGGTCAGCCGCCCCGTCCCGAGCAGACGAGACGGGGCGGCGGAAGCCCGTGTCCATGGCACAAGGAAGGCCATGGAGAAGCGATGGATTGATCATGGAGTTTCCGTTTTCTGCTTCTGGGACGAGTGGAAAGCACAAAACCAACGAGTGAGTCAGCAGTATACGGGTCCATTGGGTATTCCACACATGGTGAGCTGCCAAACAACAGCAGAAATCAAACCAGTAATTGCTCTGCAAACTGCAAGACCTGGCCATCGAGATCCATTTCACTCACACTCTCCGTTGGTCGCTCAAAGGCTCGTCTGGCTATTGCATGGTATAGCTTCCTGGTCGTGTAAGACCAATCGCATGGAAAGCTCAGCTGGCAGCAGTCGTTCCATTTTTTAAAGGCGTCTTGTTCCCAAGCGGCTAAGAAGCCACAGTTTGAAGCTCATCTCCCATCTGAGATCTGTTCACATTTCAAGTTAGACAATACAACTGTGAAAAGAACACAACAATGAGTTCCGACAGAAATACATGCCTCAACCGTCTACGGCCAGAATTCTTGCCTTAGGAAGGCCCAGGTAGTAAGATTCTACATGGCCATTTTGTGGGTCCTGCCACGACCCTCGCGCAGCCTTCAGCGTCGCCAGGAGGAAGGTCATGAGCTCCTGGGGTTCTTTCCGTGTTCGAAAAGGCGGAAAACGATCGAAAAGGCGAAGTGCCAACGTCTTGGTTAAAATGACCTTCCATCCTGGGTGAGTGTCTGACGAGGTCCCCGGCCAAACTAGACTGCAGGAACTACGTACTGCAGGAGATGGGCAGTCTGAATAGATGGGTCGTCTGAATCCTCTCGGTTTCTAAGACCATTTCCGCCGAGTTCGCACGATTAGGCCCTAAGCAATTGACACCTTGACCCTCAGCACATTCCTCAATATCTTTAAAACTCAGGGTCAGCACTCGGCACAGGCAGGCAGGCAGGCAGGCAAGATGTTCAGAGCCCTCACCAGGAAGATACCAAAGAACTTCGTAGAATCTACCTGGAAACCAAACAGAGCCTGGCTGAGCTCTGATGCATTGGTCATGAGGTTTTCGGGGGTCCATCATCCCAAGGCCTTGCAAAAGCCTTGCGATGTGGTGCAAAAAGAAAAACATACCACCAGGTGTTCTCTCGAGCCATCTGCCGACACTCACCGAGCTCAAACATCTGGTTTCACGCTCGGAGGCCCAATCTAGAATCTGACCTCTGCGTGGTCACTGACAGATCAACACCACTCTTGGAAAGGTGCTTTCCCGCAAGGCCCAAGGCCCACGAAGCCCACGAAGCCCACGAACCTCGCCTCCGGCAAGAGTCTACGATCGAGGCCTCAGAGAAACGAGGTTTTTTTTTGGGCGAACGAGTGCCACTTCAGTGCCACGGTGAGGCCCGGTGGGCAGAGTGTGCAGTCAACTTTGAATCGATTTGGGGTCCAAACAAAAACAAAGACCCCCACCTTGGGTGTGCATCTCTACGTTTCACCATATCAGTGAGCCCAAAGAGTGCCACAGGGTCCCACAAGTGCCACCATCTCTACGTTTTGCATCGCGGTCGATGGATCGGTCGATGGATTGGTCGAACTCCGTCGGTTTCAACTGAAACCCGAGGTGCTGAGATCCATGGGGCCAAACAGCCCAGGTCTCAGGAAGTTTGAGGGAGCCAATGTCTCGGTGCCATAGAAATCTGTCGAAAGTGTGTGTGTGTGTTGTATAATATACATTATACCAAAGCCCCCTGGCCAAGGTATCTATTCAGCGCCCCTTCCGGCATGAATGAACTACCCTGTGTGCGTGTGTGTCAACTCCTGTTCCCAAGGAACTGTGTTTGTACAGAAATGCAGGGGGGCAATGAACACTTTGGAAGGCTTTGCCCAACGAAAACCTTTCCATTGTGTTGTGAAATGACTTTGGGACGCCGAAGTCGCATACCTGCACCAATGTTAAGCTTGGCCGTGTTTCAACTGTTGACCAAGCTGTGACTCTATGTTTCCCCTAAAGTGCTGTTCAACACTTCAATTCTCTGACCCTTCGCCTTGCGGTTCCTGCAAGTCAAGGTCTAATGTAATCAGTAGCTTCCGGGATTTCCCAACTGATAGAGCTCTTGCGAGCATGGATCTAAGTGTGTGTGTGTGTGTTGTATATTGATATCATCACTAGTCGACTTCCTTTTCACACTTCCTTGAGTGTCGAATTGATGCACCTGACGTGACAAGTACCACATCTGGGGCACTTTGGAAGGCCTGGCCTCCCACTCGACTCAATCAGAAAGGAGGTGCTCCATTTGGACCGAGCCATAGGGGGACTGAGCGGTATCAATCTTGCTCTGTCTGTCGACCGCGAACAGCCGAGCAGCAAAGAGGAAGAAGACTCTTCACAACTGCGACCCATCATCTTCCGGATCTCATCCACTATGGTGATACCTGGACGTGGGCAGGGAGGGAGGGGAATCCCCCTCCAAAACCTGGCCCGGACCAAGGATGTGAAGTACACCTCCAGTTGTTGTTGGGAAGGAGGAGCAGTACAGCTCCGCTGTAAGTAACGAACCCCATGGGGATCGTTTCTCTGCAAATGGTTGGATCTGTTTGGATCCGTGGGCGGCCTAAAGAGGGGGGGGAACGTGTTCCAGATCCGTTGCATGACTGCAATGAACCTGTGTATCACGTGCGAAGTCCATGGATGATATCTGAAGGCCACTATTTGATATCACTAATGACCAGATTTACTGCCTCATTAAGCGTGCTTGCCTTCAAGCTTGCCTCGAAAGAATCAAACTTACGTTCAATGTTGATCAATAGCTCGTCAATTATCAATTCATCTGAGATCTGAAAGATGTTGCAAGGATTCCAGACACATCCATTCAGAAATGCATCCACTCGTACATATCACACACATATCGACTCATTCATCCATTGAGCCATGCCATATCCAAGATCTACTCCATGATTAAAACCATTTAACACCTACTACCCCATGCAACGTCAGCTCGGACTCCATGGCCACCCGCCTATAAAGGCCACCACGGGTAGGAGGACGGCTCTCATGGGAATCCATCCTGTGCGGCATGCGGATCGATGTGATCTTTGGAACTGTCTGGGAATCGTGTTTTGGGGGATACGAAGGGTTCCCAGAAAAAACCGCAATCTGGATGAACCGCAATCTGAATTGAAAGGTTTTTTGGAGTGTTCATGTTTGAAAGAACCGCAATCGATACGACGCCCCCAAAATGATCTTGCTTGGCCCAGCCCAGGGGGGTGCTCTTGATCGAAGACCCAGCCTGACCCTCTGGCTTTTGATCCATGACCAGTCCAAGCAGGAAAGCCCAAAGACTGGGGAGGGGGGGTCGAAAAAACAGCTCGACTCGGAAATGAGTCCGCATAGTCCGCATCAGCGAAGATGGCAAGTCTTCAACAAGGAGATCCTAGAAAGGAGCTTTCAGTGTTCAACAAGTCCCTGCCGTTCTTCAAGTGCTAGATTAAGTACTTTTGACGCGATGCAGGAACCGCTGCGTGAACTTCCTCTTCCATTGCTCTGCTGGGGTATCTCAATCTCCACTGATTTTGCCCCAAGAACACCCGATCAACAGCAGAGGAAAGGTCCGTCGGCTGACTTGTTGCTTGACCGCCATCCCACCCGCCATTGCGCCATTGCGCCATGGTGACCGCCCACGAGGCTTCGCAGGTCAGGGCCGCCTGTCTTAAAAGCTTCTTGGATGGGACGGCAGTAGATGGCCGCGAGCCCCATCACGATCTGAGGCGGCGAGCCCCATCGTGTGGCTTCGCGTGGCGGCGCGCAGTTTTGGGGCTGGGGGAGAAGATCATGGTCGAACTGCAAAGTGTTTGGAACTGCGAACTTCAGGTTGGTCACATGTTCAAACCCTACTCGCTCACAGAAACAACAAGTGCTGTTCTGAAAGATCTCCTTCATCATGAGTCTCAAAGTCTCAGAGACTCAACCTTGCAAATGCAAATCACCTGGCGGATAGTAGTCAGACACTCAGGATTACAAGAGTCTGCATGAGCCTATTGCGTGAGTGCTTCAGGACCTAATTCTGCATGGAAAGATCTCTGAAAGGGCATGGGATTTCTGGGTTGTGATCTCCGCCATGTGTCATATAACTTGGATCTATCCTATTACCTGTAACAGTGGATGTTGATGGTTAGTAAAGGCCTTGATCGAAAATGACACTAATTAATCTAATCGAAGGTATTTCATGGCATTTCTTCACCCCATTTGCCTCAAGGGCTGCTCAATGATCATCCCTCAACTCCGCACACCTATACCACTGGTTCTGCGAAGCGCCCTCCTTCTCCGACCGTTTCCCCCCGGAAAAAAAAAGCATGAAAAGACTACCGACGCGCCGGCGACGCCACGCCGCATGGCGTCCCTTTCGACAGGCTCAGCATCCGGACTTCGCCCACGAACATCAGATTCAGCGTGCTGTTCGGGAAGCAGTACGGTGCCGTTCCAAAGCCCAAGACCTGTCACGGCGCGGTAAACCCGCAGCGCGGAAGAACGCGCGGCGCGTTACGAAAGCATCGACCGGCACGTGTTGGCCCGGGGGCAGTTTGGTGAGGTTGGCTTGGTGAAGTTGACTGGGAGCAAAAGATAAACAGCAAGTAGCAGAGAGAGAGAGAGAGAGACAACACAACACAAGTTTATTCTTGTACACTGCCAGCAACCAGCAAGATCATCGAAAAGGACTTTCTTCAGCTAATTTGCAAGACAAAACCTTCAACAAGCACTGATGGAATATGGCCCAAGTTCACCTTCTCCCTCCCACCTGATTTGACCCATCTCCCTTTCTGATTTCCTGATTTACCAGCTTGGCCCGGCTTGGCCCCATACACTCTGTAGCTTGGTCGTCGTAGACACTGCCGCAGCCTCAGCGGAGCTGCAGTGAATTGTTGTCACGAGGTGACACCCGCAAAAGCAACCACAATGCGCGGCATTCAAGAACTCACAAAAAGATGCGAAGAGAGAAAACCTGATTTGACGGTGTGTCTTCGAATAGGAAAAAAAGACTCCGTCGCGATGTTTGGGGCTGCTGATCTTCTCGAGGACGCTACCAAATACCGCTGCCACGCACCGTTCAGACTCTTCACTGACGTGGCAAGTCGCTTCAGTGACGAACCATGGGAAAGAGAGATTCACAGGAGGTACAAGAACCTTTCAATCTTCCATGTTTCACCACCAAAACCACGTGGTTTCAACTGGTGCAAAGCGCACGCGTGTTTGCGCTGGGCTCCCTGGCAATCTGTCCCAGGACCAGCGTCCAATAATACACAGTCATGCCCATCGTGTCAGTCTTGAAGTCCTCAAATCATCATCGTCGACTCGACTCGAAATCAGGATATGTTGATCAAAAAACAGGTGCCCTGACCGTCCAGACCTGCTCCGTCCTCGGGAAAACATATGGTGGGTGAAAACGACCTCAAGGACCCCGTGTGTGAGTCTTTCATGAAGCTTTTCCCGACCAGAATAGAAGAGTCAAGATCTGGCATCCTGATCATCTTTGCTGAATCCAAATCCGACCTTAGTGCCTTAGTGTTATGGATGAGGCATATTTATGACATATTCAGAATATGGGCACTCACTCCCCTCTTGTCTGCACATGCACTCTATGTGCATCAGCGGTTCAGCGACTTCAGAAGTGTTCTCAACTTGGAAAATGGATTGGTCCATGGTTGGTCATACAGGCCTTGATTGTTCCGATGGTTTGTGGTTTCATAGGCTGTGGTTGGTCAACAAGCAAGGCCAAGCGCCTGTGGTTGCTCCTTTTTTCCAGGCCATCGGGCCATCCGGCGACAGATCCCCCAACAGATCCGCGATCTCCTGTGCCACATAGTCGTTGGGACTCTTCCCAGAGAGGTACAAGTCCCACATGCCCGGCGTCGCCTCGGGTTTCGGGTGTCGAGGGCTCGGACACCGATGGCTCGCTGGACTCCGGAAGACGCATGGATCTGGGTGAAGACTCATGGACAAAAATCAATAGTCTACCTACCTAGAACCCAATTGACCTCTGTTTTGATAGGAAAAGACCATGCTTTGGCTCCAAAACAGGGGTCAATCAGGTTCTACCTATGTCTACCTCTACTGGCACCAGATTCCCAAGATTCTGAGACTGTTCCAATGACACTCGTCAACTGCAATGATTTGGTCGATGCGTCAGTGAGTGACATGAGAACTTCGACGAGCTATATACTTTCCTGGGAGTGTCTCCAGTGTCACTCGATCAATGGCCATTGGCCATCACCCTCGGCGGTGAAGTCCGTCATGAGTCATAACGCCACCACAAGCTGAGGCCACTACCCAGAAGAACATCAGCCAGCAAAAGAGCATCTGCAGCTGTCCGATGTAGCCATAACTATACACGAGAACCTGCCGCCGCAGAAAATGGCGGATTCCGCGGCGTCGGTTCTAATCGATTCCGGCAGCTTCACCAATGGTGGTGGTCATGCTACTCAGCCAGCAGATGAGTGGATTGAGAGTGGTGAAAAAGCTCCTAGTAGCGTCCTTGCTCCTAGTAGTAAGGCCAGGAGCCCCTAGTAGCGTCCTTGCTCCTAGTAGTAAGGCCAGGAGCCCCTAGTAGCCTCCTTGCTCCTAGTAGCGACGCCTTTTGTTCCTAGTAGCGTCCGCTACCCCCCCCCATCTGTTGACACCTTGGAATTGGTGCCATCTACTTCTGAAACCCACCCTACGTGGGCCTACCCTGCGACCCCATGTTCGACGCCTAATCCCGAACTCTCCCGTCCAGTCGGCCCGTGGTGGGCACCTCAGCCCCTCGTTCGACCCCCGTCTCTGAAAAGACCGGGCGGACATGTTGGGGGCCTTGCAGTTCACCATCTTTTCGTATCTGGGATGTCGCGGAGGTCGTTCCATCAACTTGGACCTTGGGAGCCGCAGAAAACGGAGGCCGCTTGCTCGCGAAGAGGGAGGAAGCGAGGGGTGGAGAGGATGGCTGTTGGGCCAAAAGGGGCTCCTCCGCTCGGGAATGGGTGAAAAAGAGTGGTCGAACTTCACCACGCGGAAGAAGGAAAAAGCCCTGCGGGGTACTACAGAGTGGGGTCCAAGACCGTGAGCTTCTCACCCAACCCCCGCATCTATAATATTAGCTTTCTAGATCCAAGAACATGTGCCTTGCAAAAGCGAAATATTCGGAATATCTTCCAAAACATTGGACTCCCCCCCTACACCCCCAATGAGTTCATCAGTCACCAGTGGTTCATCCTGGTTCCACTCCTGGTTCCTGAAGAATGGCAACTGGAATCTGCTAGAAAAAGAACAAGAGGAATCGAGCATCCCGTGTTTTCTTCACTGTTGGTCTATCAGCCTATCGGTTTTCCACTCTGTTTGGATTCGTGTTTTCTGTCTGCTTTCGACAACCAGTGTTCCGAGTTAAACAACGGGTGGTACCAGCGCGGTTGGAACATGTTTGATTCACAGCATACTATCATGATTTCTTATATGATGTCTATATAATATGTTGTCCAACAACCCAATATCTAAACGTTTTAGAATAAAAGTGAGACGAAACAACAAACAGAATACATACACTCCGACTCCCATCGCATGGAGGTGGAATTCCCACTCTGGTCTTCGGAAAGTACTTGTCCAAGGGACCATGGACCATCCACTTCCGTTCGTCGGAGTGGTTTGGATTTACGGTCGACCTGGGAAAGCACCAACTTCCCACGACAAACCCGGGAGTTGATGGATGTTTATGGTACATTTATTGATAGGAAAAGCAACAGAAAAATCACCCCAACATCCGGCCAAACCCCGGGGTGTTTGGCAACAAAGGAAACCTCCCACCGGAAACCTCTTGGCCCCTAGACTCTGCGGGTTGGAGAGCGTAGGCGATCGCCGTCCTGGCAAGAAACACAACGGTGGAAGAAGAGGGAGGAAGAAGGAAGGAAGAAGAAAGAAGAAGAAACCACCATGTCTCAGAGGTTCTTGGAGCTTCTTGGCGATCGCTTCTTGGAGCTTCTTGGATACCTCTTCATGGTCTGTTCCTCTACTCGTCCTGTTCGACTCTCCTTAACACACCTGCCAGTTCCCAACATCGGGTGTCACCCGCACTCGTCGGACTCATCCCTGGCGAGCCATAGATTTGAACACCCTGGCACGTAGTTCAATGATCGATGCTTCAGGATGTTGAAATCATGTCAGAATGGGAAAAAACAAAGGGCGGTTGAGCTATAGAAGATGAATGGTTTGCTCCGCCAACAAGTCCAGAAGTCAACTGCATCCGAAGTAGACATGACTTGGCCAGGTGAGGGTAGATTCACTGGCCCAAAGAAAGTGTTCAGTACAGCGCAGGGCGCCCAGGCTCAGGCTTTCGTGGCTTGTATATTTTTAAAAGCAATATTGCAGAAAATGTCAACAAAGAAAAAGGACCTTCCGTATCTGCGTGGAATGTCTCGTTGTCACCTCTGCTTGAGAATGAGAAGAATCGGCCTCGCGAGACCGATTGAATCGGTCTCGCGAGACTGTCAGAATCCTTGTCGCACCAAGTCCCCCCCCTGTGGGCGCTCCAAATATCAGTGCCAATGTCGATCAGAAGCACTTGGGCGACAGTCAGAGCCTGCGACAGACAGAGACAGGGAGAAAGGAAGCAGTCCTGGCGAAAGGATCACTGGACCCTCATAACCTGGGGTCATCTCACCTACAGCTAGCCTGGCATGATCTTATGTATATCAGGAAAAAGAACAATGCCAGTTTTATGCATCAGCAGTGCAGGGTCATCCAGCCTCAAGAAGGGGGCGTCCAGCCCTCACGACAGTTCCATCAGCTGCCATATGACAGCACCAGGGGATTCCCAATTCCCAACCCCTATACAAATAAATTCTTCCATTCAAGCAAATGAACCCATCCAAGGACAGCCGCTCCGTGGCGGAGCCTTTTGGTGCAAGCAGGTTCACTGATTCCCGGGCGACTTCGCGCTGCCACCGCAGGGAACTGCGGCGTTGACTGCGTTCGCGCGGCAAGCTGAGCGCCTGCGGAACCCCAAAGAGCTCACCGAAGGTGGGAGCCACTTGAGGCACCTGCGGGGGGGGCTCGCGCCAGGCTCGAAGGTGTGGGTTGGGGTGGATCAGGTGGATGGGGTGTAGTCTTTCGTTGCCAGTGTTTGACCTCCGGGAGATCCCCTTTCTACCGTAGATCTACAGAAGCAGCTAGTAGAAACTGCTCTCCTGCTTGGACTCCTTGCCCAACCACCTCCCCCCGAACTCAACGTCGACTCCACCCTTTCTTCGTCTACGAAGCCTTGGAACAAAGCGTGTACATGATGGACTTCTGCAAGTTCTCGCTCGACAACCGTCCTGCCGGACCCCCCTTCCCCCACGGCCGTCCTCGACGCCGAGAGAGACGGCGGTGGAGCGAGCGCAGCGTGCGCAGCGTCCCGAAGCGGCCCGGGTCGCGGGGGGGCGAGCGACCCGGTTCCCTTGAGGCGTTTCAGGTTCTTGACGGTGTGGAGTTGATGCTCGGGTGGAGTGATGTCGTTCCAATGTTGCTGGGCCGGCTGAGGAAGAGAAACACATCCTTCAAAACAGACCCCAAATCAACAGACCCGCCTTCCAAAGCCATTCTGCACGAGACCATCGTTTGCCACCCTCAAGCTCTTCGTCGTTTAGGAAACGACGCATCGAAACGAAGAATTCGGTCTGTCTCATGTCACCACATAGCGGAACTGTAAGTCCCAGATCTCGCAGGCAATGTGTCGAAGCAGTGGTCCTTGTTCCATGCCCTTGACCACCGAGGAGAAGTTGTCATCATGCAGCACAATGTCCGAGGCGTCCTTCGCGAAAGGACACAGGAAAAAAACACCAACTGCTCTGAAACACACGCTCAACTCAATAGAGACAGGCATCCTCTGATTTCAATGGCATACAGTACCTGACCCAGGGCTTCCTATACTTCCCAGAACATCTTCCCATCACCCTCCAGAGAGCTCAAAACGAAGGTTCGTGCTTTCCGCCGGAATAAAATATACATATATGTGTATGAGATGTGATAAATAATGGATGTTGAAAAGAGAGGAGAGGAAGAGTCAAGGAGAGAAATCGGAAGCCTCATCCAACCAAAGAAGGTTACACATGCCTATACGTTCGTCGTCCTTGGCCACTTCAGTTCCTCGCTGTCCCATGGCCACGCCCACCTTGGGCGCAGAAACTGCAAAAACGGTAAAGGCAACAAAAAGTGAACCACCACCACCACCACCCACGTTGCGTTGTTGTTGCAAGTAACAAATACCTGTTAATCAGGGGTCAGGAAGGTCTATCAACCACCCGATTTGGTGTGGTGCTGGCGAAGATTCATTGTGGTCACTTTAAATGACTGCACTTCTTGCTTTTGCCTGGTTCATTGAATCAGCCAGTTCCCAGAACCCTCATCGGAGGAAACCAATTTTGGGGGCATGCCCATCGCATTGCATTGTTTTGCATCTGCTTAGACTTTGCAATTCATGGAGTGGTCTTGGGATGTTGGTTGGACCAAACGACCAAACACAGCTTCGTGGCAGTTGTGCGCAAGCGCAACTTCTGCCTAGTTCCTGGCCTCCGCTTGCTTCAGGGCTGGTGCATCATTGACGCCATCTCCAGTCATCGCCACGATATCGCCAATGCCATTGTAGCCGTACTTCTGATAGGCCTGCACATGAAGATGAAGTGGCCCTCACACCATTCATTGGCATTGCTGGGTTCCACACCGGCATTGCTTGCGAGTGTTTGTTGCTTTCCAAAACCCAAACTGGCAGGATTCAACCCAAGGTGTCCAAGAGCTGCACTAGTATCTCAAGAACCTCACAAACCATTCGTCCGCCATGAGACCTTGTAGAAGCCATATGCCTTGACCTCCCCTCCCACAAAACCATGTCGAACAATCACCAACTAGTCCTCACATCTCCACTGGATTCAGCCCCAGGAAGACACTTCAGCGAAAAGGATGACACGGACTCGAGCTCCCTCCCATCATGACAGGGACCCACCTGCACAATGACCTGCTTGTGGATGGGCGAGACCCGTGCAAAGACCCGCGTGTGCTGCACTGCCTGACGACGTGTTGGCGACGTGTGGGGCCACGTCCAGAGATGAAAGCCAGCCGCTGAGCTCTCTTTTAAAAAAAAGAAGAAAAAACATGTGTGAGGACCCACCTAACAGTCTCACTTGCGGTCGGGAGTGTGCTCTCGGCGCAGGTCGCGGAGAACGGTCCACTCCGGTAGGACCCACCTAACAAAGATGCCCCAAATATCTCCCGAGCTCCCCAACAGTGGATGTCTGGTGGTCTCCTGTTTGCAGGCCGACATCTCTGAAATGAGTGATAGTCTTGTTTGCCGGTCCGCCGGTGTCCTGGGGCCACTCCGCTCTGAAAGACTGGAGTGAGTGATGGAGGACGGCCTCTGTGGATCGAGTGCCCCAAAATGACCACCCGACAGAGGAGCAAATCCACCAGTAATCGAATAAGAGGGCCATGTTCTCGAATTCTCGCACCGATCGGTCGGTGTCTGTGCAGAAATCACCAGGTACAGGGCTGGGCAGTTGCAGTACCTGCTTGGATTGGGTTCTCTGAAGAACCGATTTCATGAGGCAACTGCCTTAAATCTGTGAGATCCGAGTCGAGACACTGATGGCTTATATCACGATTCAGGGAGCAGGTTAGTCTCTTCAAGAACAAGCTGCAAACCCATCTCTATGGAGCAAAGGTCTTGGTTCTTGCATGTTCTGTCTTGACTTGTTTAACTCTTTGGAGAGCCTCTCTCTCTCTGAGACTCAGAAGGTGGTCTCTTACTGCACTTGCCGGATTCATGTTCGTTTCGCTCGGGTCTTCATACGACTCGGTCGGCTCGCTCGCTCCCCTGGACACCACCAGCCCTCCCTCTCGCTCGACGCAACCGGGGGGGGCTGTTTATAGGAGCGTCACGCGTCACGCGGTCGCGGTGCGGCTTTGACGTCAAACGTGGCGCGTGACGCATGAGTCGAGAATGTGTCCCCACTCTGAAAAGATCGGCTCGCCTTTCTCCACCACTTGACATTGTCCTCTGGCTCTTCATCGGTAAAGTTATCACCTGAACGTGCCAAGCTCAGGTCGTAGAAGGTGTGATGCTTTTGATGGGGATGTTCACTCGCACCGAGCAACATGGACCATTCCCTATTCCTTTGCTGTTCCTAGATTCCTAGACCCCAGAACTCTCGCAAGCCAGATATTGCTACAAACATCACGTCCTTTTCAGGAAGGTTTGCAGTTCTTCAGCAGGATTCAACACCTGCCTACTGGCTGCACTTGCCAGCTTGGATTTCCTCTGCGAAAGAAGGAACACTGAAAACGGTGTATCAACGCACCATGATTCCCGGAGAAACCAAGAGAGGCTTTTTGAGACCTGAACTCTCCAGCTAGGGGAACATATGGGATACACAGACTATAGGATGCGATAAGGTTGTTCAACCTCTCTAGGAAGTGATGCCCTTCTAAGCCGGTCCAAATGTGCATGGCCCAAAAAACGGACGCTTCCGCTTTAAGGGGAAGCGACTCAGGTGTCTCATTAAGAAAGAAGGATCAGATGAAATAGGTGAACGACACACATGTTTGTTTGCCCAGCATGTGAAGCAGTCTAAATCCAACTTGTCTGAACTCGAGGTTCTTGATCCTGCGGAACTCACTGGTCATCTCCTGTCGTCTCCGCCCTCTTCCCTCAATTCTTTGAGGCCCTTGCCCTTGGGTATTCGGCTGTCCAACATCACCTTAGCAAAGCGCGACCACACCGTCGTCCTCCGGTCGTCCTCCGGTCGTCCTTTTCCTCCACACCTTACTGTGGACCTGGTCGGAACCCAGGCTGCTCATTCTTTGGGTAAATCTTATATGATGTTTTGGTTTATATGGGTCGGAACCCAACCATCCAACGGAGGTGGGGATTCCAACCATCCCGGCCAACTTGGAGATGTCCCAACCTACTTGATCGAAAGGTCCCCTGATTACCACCAAGAAAGAAGGAACATCGACCAAATATCACGCGCAGGAACGTCGTCACGGCAAGCTTGTCCACTCCTTGATCTGTGGGAACCGGTGCAAGTTTTGGGAAAAAAATCTTACTCAGAGGCTAACTGCTACATGTTGGTTTGGTCAAAAACCCTAGTTACTAGTTACATAGGGTCAAAACCCTAGAAAGTCACCAGAGCCCCCATCTCCCATGGGTGCTCAGTTGAACAGAGCTTTTCTTTCGGCGTAGGGTACTATCACTGAACAGTTGAGCAGTTGATCTTCACCACGCAGCTCCGTCCTTTTCGCGCCGCTCTGATCGCACGTGTGGCCGATCCAAAGCTGTTCTCCGCTCCACGTTTCGCACCCCGTTCGGTGCGTCGTGCTGGGTTCAGCTGCGTCGAGCGTTCCAGCGACAGATCCGTTGGCTCCGATCGGCCACCGGATCGACCGGAATCCACCGGAATCTGCCCTACGGAAACCAACCACTTGCAGCATTTGACCAACATCGAGCATGGTCGGACCGGCCATCATTTCAGAAACGACCCACGGTTGAAAAAAAGAGGATGCCTTGACACCAACTTTGCAATGCTTGGAGTGGTCACATGTCTTAAAACAGTTGGCATTGTTTGTGGAGCGTCCATCACTGCTTCAGCACCAATGGACCAACATCACTATGAAAACCCATGCCAGGGTGAAGACCTCAAGCTTGCAAAACGCCCACTTCTGACCCTTCATTTTTCCTGCTAAAAACACCGTGAAAAACACGACTCTGTGATGGATCAGGATCTCGCTGGAACATCCGGATCAGTAGTGATTCTCTCTCACGAGATCCGCGTACTGTGCCTCTCTCCGAGGCTGGATCTCGATCTTCTTGGCCACCATGGACCGGCCCCCCTGGCGGATGGGCGATCTTGGGCACCGAGGGAAGGTTCTCTGGTTCCAGGGGTTCGCCTCCGAAGGTCGCTCGAAAGACCTGGCATGAGCTGGCCCTTTGACCCATTGGACCCCCCAAGAGAGTTCCACCAAGCTGAGTGGTTTGGGACACCAGTTTCGTGGGTGGATGTAGGCTTGTGTTTCATTGTGTTTCAATGTTCCAGTTGCCTGGTGTGGATTTCAAAGCGAGGTGAGTCGACCGAATCCCTGCGGAGCGTCATGAATCCTTGGAAGCTCGTGAATCCATTTGGAGCGCCTCCGGCAAGTCCAACTTCAGCTTCCTTGGTCGCGAGGTGTGGAGATTCGTTGGCCGGACGGCCTGCACATGTGCCTGTGGGGAGATCGCAGCTCTGCTGGTCATTTTCTTGGGCTACACATCTTGGGCCTTGCATTGTTGGGGCACTCGCTTGGACTTCGGACCTGAAAGAGGTTGCATGTTCACAGAAACCTCATAGACGTGACTTGGACTTGCTCAAAGAACTCATATTCTCTAGAGATATTCCAGACTGGGACTACGTCAATCATGTATTCCCATCCCCCGGGCTTCAGGAAGATACCCAACAGAATTCTCAGAGAACAAAGAACCGACCCCGGAAGACAGCCAACTCAAGTTGTCGGTTTTGCGGCGGATGAGAATCTGCCGAGTGATCCTGTTTGAGCGACCCAGACCCTCTGAGTCCGAAGGCGTTCCGCACATGCTAGCGATGGCCTCCAACCTACGAGCGATGGCCTCCAACCGACATCCAAACAAACCTGAAGGCGGTCGGAAATCTAGGGGCCTTGGAACTCGAACTGACTCCTTTCCTCCTTCTGCTCCAACAAAACCATCCATGGACTGGGCGCGTCCCTCTCACAATCCATCTTCCCAACATGATGTTGCCATGGATCCCATAGACCTGGCGCAGAGCTGCCTCTAAGGTCTGTGGCTCGTCGGTGGCCCAGGGCGTTAAGGAGATGATCTCCGAAATCTCCTCCTTCTCCACGTGGCTCACCGTCTGAGAGGCCTCCCAAGCGGACGCCACAGGTGCGGGCTCCGAAGACCAGAGACGGCCGGTGGCGGCGGCGGTCTTTGTGGGAGAAAGATGGGTAGAGAAACTCCAGCAGGAGAGGACACCACCGTGTTCGATGTTCGCACTGCCTTTGGTGCCTTGGAGGCCCTTCAGGCCTTGGAAACATCCTGAAAGCATCGAAAAACCGAGTGATGTGTCTTCTTGGAGTACCCTGCAGTATGCTTGGATTGTGCTCCCGAAAAGTCTCGCGATGTTCAAGGCATCTTCCATATATAAGAGGATTCACGGATTCACTAATGATCAGAGAATCGACTCCAGTCATTACTGAAATGTAGGTAGACTGGTCTGGCCGTCCAAGATGATCCAAGATTGCCACCAACCTCTTGAGCTTCACACAATCCATTGAATTTTCGCACGAGGATGCCAACACTGATTTCACAAGCAGCGAGCGACTCTCTGAAGACTTGCATATACCATAAATTACTTTACTTCGAGTGATCCCCACCATGACATTTCAATCCTTTGTCTTGATGCCATAGTGAGGAGCATGTTGCCATAGTCGTCAGTATTGTAGTTCTCGATGTTGCTTGTGGGTCCTCGGGTTGTGTGCTGTGGTTGTGTGCTGTGTTGTGGTTGTGGTTGTGTTTGTGGTTGTGTTTGTGGTTCTGTGTTTGTGGTTGTGTGTTTGTGGTTGTGTGTTTGTGGTAGGAGGGATGCACACTGCGATCGGATCCTTGCGGTTGAGGTCCAGGGGTGGGGATCCTTGCGGTTGAGGTCCAGGGGTGCACACTGCGATCCGGAGCTGGCCAGACAAGATCGGCGAAGCAGATTGGCGAGGAAGGAAGCAAGGAGGAAGGAGGAAGGAGGAGGACGAGGAGGCGGCGGAGGCGGAGGCGGAGGCGGAGGCGGAGGCGGAGGCGGAGGCGGAGGCGGAGGAAGAACAGCTGTGATAAAATCTAACAACCCTCACCTGGCAGGTGGGGAAAAATTGATCTCCAAATCTTCTTTCTTCCACTGGTAATCCTCTCATCCTTCTCCATCCTCAAAGCTGAACCCCTTCCAAACGTCGCAAGAAAAAATGTAAAAAAAAAACACACGCGCGGATCGTACTATTATACCAAACGTCCGAACCTACGCAGAAAGAGTCCCACCCACGGCCCGTGTGGCTACACCGCCCCACCTCGACGTTTGAAGCGGCGGGCAACTCCAGGTCACCCTCTTCCAAGAAGAAGATGTACAACGCCTGAGCGGTGGCCTGCCGCACGGTTGGAAAGCTGAAGCCCAGGAACTGCCTCGGCAGCTCGCGCGTGCCAGCCGTGTCCGGCAGATCGCGCGGCGAGGCGATCGGCGATCGCGCGGGGAAATCGGGGATTTCGGGGACGTGAGTATAGGGAAAAGAAATGAGAAGAACGCCACAAGTGAATCCAACTACGGGGGCCAACTAGAAACCCTGAGCTGTTCTTCGGTGCGACACGACTTGCGAGGTCTCCGGTCTCCAGACGGTCTGAAATGTCGCGTTAGGAAAGTGAAGGGGTGTTCTTTCCCCCCCACGATCTGCACCGCAGAACTGCAAATGCAACGTCATTAAGACCCGAACCTTCTATATTGTATATGTACCTGACGCTCAGAGATGCATTGACGCACACAGGGTCAAAAAAGTAGAAGGTGTTCCTGTCTCAGCGTGGTCTATGAATGTGTTCTTGTTGAACAAGGATTCGACATTTTGCGATCAGGTCTGGCAGCAAGAAGCAGTACACTCCACAGTAAGCAAAAAGCTAAGAAACCATGCGTAGGATTGTGTTGGATTCGTGTGCAGCTGGCGGCCGCATGCAGGGTGTGCTACACAAACCTTGCTGAAGACTCGGCCTCTGCGAGAACTTCCGACACCGATAGAACATTGGACCAACCTCTTTCAGTTTCCATGTGTCTTCAAACAAAGAGGCCAAGTGCAATTCCTGATGATTCCTATTCGCCTACACACCGACACCACTTTCCACTCGAGGTGCAGCAACATCAGCAAGGACTCTCTCCGCACACTTGGCCAGCGCAGCAGCCCCACAAACACGGCCTTAGAAGTTGGACATTGGATTCTCGTAGTCTTCATCGCTCCAAACAAAAATTCCATTAAGCAGTCATAAGCAGATCTATGAGTGTATACGGTCTACACAAGACCAGAAACCTCGTATGTATACCCCAAAAATACCATGTGACCATGTCCAATCCCAGCGCTAGAACCGAGAGCCGAACTCATCGGTCCACCCGGTGCGGCGCGGTCGTGCGCGGATCCTCCGGAGTCGGGTCCTACTTCTATGCGAAGCAACGAAGAGCTATCCGGGCTGAGCTCGGACTGCCCTTGCGGCTAGTGGGACTGGGACCTGCCAGGTGTCCTTCCCAACCTCCGAATTCATCGACCCAGTGATGCGGGGCATTGGACAGAGTCTCGGTGCATCTGCTTCACACACTCTAGTCTTCAAGTCTCCTCCCTTATTCCATCTCTCTGCGTCCCAAACATGTTTTCACTCACCCGCCAACTCTCCCAGCCAACCACCCATCTCCACAGGTTCATCACCCCAACCAACAGCCGAGTCCGGAGTCCGCCGTCCGGTCGGGCCTCCCTCGTCCAGTCTCCCAAGCGGCGATGGCGCTCTTCAGGCGCTGCGGGTCTTTGCTCCGCTCCACCGCGGCGCTCGCGCGGCGCCCCAGCTCCGACGCCAGGTCTTCCGGCCAAGCGTCCTGGCGGGCGAAGCCGCGCGCCGCCCGCAAACCCGCCGGGGTCTGCCGTTTCTGCGGACGGGACTAGTCGGGGCCCACGGGTTTGCTGCCTGGAAAACGAAGGATATACCGATTTTCCGTCCAACATCGGTGTTACGAAGATCCTCGAAGAGTCGAGTCGAGTGAACTTGGCACCGTTCACACTCGGAGTCAATCTGCCGTGGGTGACGGACCAAACGGATGAAAAGACCTGCCTGAAAGGTCTTTTTCTACATGGTGGGCTGGTTGGGTGAACATGGTGAGAAGACGCAAAAACCCTTAAGCCTGACGAGAGCGGAAGGGATTAAGAAATCCTTTAACACAACGGGAAGGTTATCTGCTTGTTCTAAGTTAAGTTTGGGTGGGAGGGGTAAAGAATGCCCAGTTGGTGCAAGAGAATGGGAATCACGAGAGATAGCTCAAATGTCTCCAGTCTCGTTCTCTCCTGTGCCAGCAGTACTCCCACAGTGTTCATCAGTGGCGCCAGCAAGCGTTTCGCTTCGGGGTCGCTGTCGCGGATGGACACCGAGTCGTACAGCTTTAGGAGCTCAGCACCCAGATCCTGCCGCGTCAAGGTGCCACTGTTCAGCTGCTTCAGCAAGGCTCGCTTTGCATCCTGGGGTTGGCACTGCTCCCATTGAAACATCTATATTGGATTGAGAGTAGATGGTACAGACCCCAGCTGGTGGTTTATATGGACCCCCATCTGTCTGAGCTTTTTTTGGGTGCACTCCGAAACGGCTCGCACAGGCGTCAATGACAGAGGCAGTAAACTGGGGGGCGAAGGACCATGGTCCAGAGCTTGGAGCAACAAAACATCAACGGTTACTGTCCATTCCAAAGAGTTCTGTGAGTTGGGCTAAGCCACCCGTGGATCTCAACGATCGCTTGGGGTGAACACATGCGGAACAACGAACAGAAATGTGGCAAAGTTGGGTAGCCATGAGTAATTAGAATCCTACTTATCTTGCAATCTAATTATAGAAACATCTAACTATATTGGCACAGTACTATATTGGCACATAGACACATGCTGTACAGTGCAAATCAGCTTTTCGAGTGGGAATATCTGATCCAGCTTTGACCTACGTGCAAAAGAGCTCATTCGTCTTCCGCTCTCTGTGTTCTGCAGACCCGCAAGTCCCTGTGAAACAGCCGCGATGGCATCCCCAATCTCGACGAACGCCGTTCGAACGGACCAAACCATCTGCGAGAAGGGGGCTTTGGCGGTATGCTCGGTGATGCCGCCCACCGAGACAACGATGCCCTTCAAGATCGCGGGTCCTGGGTGTCTTCATCGAAGCGGTTCCCATGATGTTGAGAGGCATGGGCGATCGGTTCCGGCGAACTGGACCGAGCTCTCGTCGGATGAGCCATGGGTGTTGGCCAAGATGGAGCCATTGGAAGTCTGCGGATGAGTGGAATGGTGCTGGTGAAATCTTAAGATGGATGCCATTTGAAAAGGCCCTGCCACAACCGAAAACAAGACATATTTCATGCAGTGGTTGCCAGGCCAGGCATTTAGAGACCCCAAAACTGGTTCAACAAAGAGGGGAGGACCCATAGAAACTGACTACTCAATCTCCTCAAGGTGGCCGACCGCTGGTGGCTGAAACAGACTGCAAATACATGACAGTCATGGGATCAGAGACATGGGACAACATCACAGTCTTTGGGACTGCAACGTTCATAATGTGTTCATGGATTAGCTCCCAAGAAGAAAACTGACCACCCTGATAGGATGGATAGAAGTCCCAGATCCCATAGCAGATCCCTCGACTTTGATGGATCTGCTGGATCTGCTCCCAAAACAAAAACAGCTACATCTGTGGTACTACTCTGGAGATCGTTGGGAAACATGGATGAAAAGAAAGACCGGCAGAGCTTGCCTGATTCTTTGGCTCACTTATGGATATTCCAGCCAAAAGATTAGTTTGTTCAATAGACAATGCAAAAGGTTGTACAGTATGATATATCCATTCAAAACTAGCAATATATCAATTATATCTAGAACCCATGTGACCTCTGTTTTGATAGGAAAAGACCATGTTTTGGCTCCAAAACAGGGGTCAATCAGGTTCTTGGTATGTATATACTGAGTGGTGTTCGTTCAGTTCTATTCTGGTGGCATCACCAGGCGGCGATCATCGGCGGTGGGTTTGCAGACGTGTCAAAGGAACAAGGGAAGGGCAACCAGGGGATGAGCTGGGATCAGGGTACCTCTGAGTCGCTCCTCGACTCGAAGAAAAAGACTCCCTCCAAGTGAGGCCACACAAGTCGTCCCTTCACGAACCTCGAGAGCACATCTGACCCCAAGAGCGTCATAAGATTTGGGTGAAAACTTCAGCAAAGCACACCCCCCAAGTCCCACTCAATCCTCCACAAGAGTTCGCGAACAAATCAGTACAGGAACCTGACAAAGTCATCCCTCAGTCATCCCTGGTCACTGTTTCAAACACAAATCCACTAGCCTTCCACTCATGATGAATGCCTGCTAATGCTTAGGGTGGGTACTTTCAGAACCACCGAAAACACGTGTCCCGACCGTCCCGGTGCCGCGCGGCGATAGGCGTCCAGCGCCGCCAGCGGCGCGAGAGCCTCGAAGACCGCAGAGCTTCGATCTTGTTGCAGATCCGCCTGGGTCGGCTCCGCCATGGGCGTGGCCTCGATACCTGGCGGAAGGGGAGGAGGAGGAACAAAGGGCATCGCTACGAACGGAGCAAGGACGCTACGAACGTAGCTCCTGGCCTTACTACTAGTAACAAGAAGCCACTAGCGGACGAAAAAAAAATGGAAGAAAAGAACTCTCAGGTCACAAGGAATGTCGTGTCTATAGGGGGCATGGATTGGATCTGGCAGATCTAGCCATCCAAGAAATGGAAGCTTTCGAAGAAGCAAAACAAGGAGGGCTATTCTCAGTCTGTTTTCCACGGTGTAGAAAGGTCTCCGGTATCAGTTCAGAAAGATCAGCTTTCTCTGCGCAGTGTGGTTTGAGGTCATTCCAAAAAGACTGTTTTCAACACGGTGATATCAGTACCGGTGTCGGTGGTGCTACTCCCGATCTCTTGAGTCCTTTTTCAGCTTCATTCGACCAGAAATGGCACACTTTTTGAGGTGGTGTCTGAAGATGACATCCCCAGGATCTGCTGTGAACCCACTCATGTCACAGTGAGAAACCTCAACAAGGCCAACGCAAAAACCACCACCTCACAGCAAAGTCCATGAACGCGAACAAAGAACTTGCTAGTATAGTATGCCATCTGATGAGTTGTCTCAAGAACAAAACAAGCGAGAAAGACCAGCAGGTCGTGGCGACCAGAAACCATTTTGACCCATGGAATCTCAACTCGTCCATCTGTGAGTCACCCTCATACTACCCAATAGGATCCAAATTGATTATCAACGGTTAATATAATATATGTTAATATAGAATGTTGATTGATTAAAAGCACCGTATTAAGAGGCTTTCCAATCCAAATGGGGGGTGATCAATCAACATTGTACATTACTGTAGGTCTCCCTATCTTTTGGGTTCCCATCCCTCGTTCAGCCCAAGCATCAGCTTTGCGCCACGCACTCACCGATCACCTTCAACTCTGCCGGCGGCCAGGCCGCCGCCGCACGCGCCGCGGCACCGCCCGCGGCCGCGCCGCGACCCGCCGTTGCCGCGGCGTCGTAGGCCTCGCCGTGCAGGACGCGGCGGTAGGCGTCGCGCAGCCCGACGGCGCCGTCGGGCGCGGTGCAAAGCCTCCGCAAGAGTCCTTGGCAAAGCGGCGAAGCGAAGGGCCAGAGAGTCCTCGGGGGAGTCGGTGCGTCGGTGGTTCGCCGCAAATGGCAGAGATAGTTGCCCCGAAAGTCTGAGGTTTTTGCAGAGTCAGGTTGGGACCCTGCTGGATTTGAAGCTCTCCCTGGCAAGTCCAGAAGAGTTCGGCAAAATTCCCTCTCACTCTCAAGTGTTTCTCTTACTTAAGATATGATTTGGGATTCTTATAAGCACCTGATATATATATATATATTATATATATAATATACAAAAAAAGAGAATCCACCACCACCTGCCTTCCGTTTGCCCATGCTAGGCCATGCTCGCAAAAAAAAGGAACAAACAAACAGTGGGCCATGAAATCCACGCGCTCCAAGTCATGCCAAGTCTCCAAATGCTCGTTCCCTTAGTCGGTCGATCTTTTCCACTGCCTGTTGCAGAACCAAGGCCATCAACTGCGTGGACGTCGATGTGTCCGGCAGCTCTGGTGCCCCGTCCGTCACTCGCTGCCTGGGTGAAGGGCGGCGCCGCCGAGACCGGCAGGCACCTCACAGGATCTCAAAGATATTTTTTGGAGATTTGGGACCCGAAGTACATCATACCTGGATCTTCCACCTATGCAAAATGTCTGCCCTTGGGCGGAAGATGCAGGTAATATATGGGGAATCGACCGCAGCACATCCGGTCTCGGAAGCCCATCTGCAAGCTTGTGAGTTCGGCTTATGGAGAAACATCAACCTTGGGATACTTTGGGTGTAGCTAAACGATTCACGTCTCGAGTGACGTGCTTGAAAAACCCTGTCAGTGGCATCATTGATGCCCACAGGCTTGGGTCTTCTCCTGCAGCAATGGTCCGATTGAAACGTGTCTTGATTTAGATCAGCAGCTCTCTTGAAAAGTCCCCGCATCTTCGGCACCCTGTGGTGTCAGTGTCACCCCGTCTACTGGCCCCGTCTACTGTGCGTGTGGCCCGAAACCTGGCCACGTGAGAAACGCCGGCATTGGGGGGAACCCAGTGAATCCCCAGCACTGGTAGGCATATGCTACTGCATCGCTGCAAGTCAACCTCGCGAAGCGGTTGTGCCCACCCCAACCCCACCCACCCCAGCACTGTCGTGGCGTATGCGATGCGCGCATCGCTGCAAGTCCACCTCGCGAAGTGGTGAGGTCAATTGCACATGGCCGTTCATACCCAGAAAACCTCAAAAATCACCAGGTAGAGCAAGCAGAAACACCAGGCGCCCATGGCAACTACCTAGTCCCATCCAGATAACGATCACGATGGAGATGTGACGTGTTACGGGGCACCCAACGCCTTCCTTCCTCCTTCCGCGACCGGCACCAGCGACCTCCGTTGCGACCTGACTCCGTGAGCACCACGAGGAGCACCGGTCACCGGTGCTCCGAAAGAGGCGGCGGTGTGGTCTGACGATGTGCCTTACATAGACGACGAACTCCCCATCTGACCGATTTCAACGGCCACATCTGACCGACCTTGACCTCACACAAATCTGGGGAGAACGTTGATTGATAGGGGGATGGAGGTGAAATATTGCATCCAAATGGCTGCTCCAGCAACGCCACGCTGACCTCCATCGCAATCTCCCTCACCCACGACCCCACATCCTCAGAGAAGCTCTCATCACACAACGAGTGGCCATTGATGGGTTGCACGAATAAGGAAAAAAGAACACGCTGTCCCAAGAAAGAGTTTCACTTAAACTTAAAAGTACAAAATCGTTGACACATGAACGTTGGCCGAGCGCTTTCGCCAACACTCAGCCTACGCACAAATACCTGGGCGAGGACCAGGCGTGTCCTTGGGCGTGGATTTTTGATGGTTCTTGAGGACGCCCAGCCTCCCACAGGTCTCCAGGAGGGATTGACCAGCGCAAGCGAGCAGGACAGCCAGGGGCTGGAGAAAGCTGCTTACCTGCTCATGAGCTTCCACGTGCACGATGAAGCCGCTCCCAACCAGAAGTGCAACACGCAGCTCATCATCTGGCCGTGGAGCTCACCATCAACCAGACCTTCGATGCTGCGCAGAAACACATTGATGGCTTCCCGCCACCAACCGGCAGCGCTTGTCAACCCAAGCGATTAGGGCCGGGACTTCTGGTGCCCTGCTTTCGGAACGGTCACCATCTCGTCAGTCTCTCTCATCTCGGGAACCGTCTGGGCCGAACCGTCAGGGCCTCAATCATCACGAACCGCCCAACATCCGTCTTCACAAGCAAACCGTCATGCCTGTGGCTCATGGCCTTCCGGGTCTCCCCTCTCGGCATGGGGCCGTGGAACTCTCGGCATGGGCTGGATCTTCCAACGACGCAGAATTGAGTGCCAACCGTCCGGCGGGTATTTCTAGAGGAAAAGGGCCGGGTTGCACAGTTGGAAGATCCAGGTGAAACAACTGTTTACAGCAGTTCACATCAATCCTGCAAGTCTTGGACGAGGCTTCTCTTTTCGGACGGAACGAAACATCCCACGAGAGACTTGGGGGATCTGATGGGATCTGCCCTGTTTGGCCTCGGTTTTGGGCCAGTTGTGCCCAGCTTCTCCGCGTCGGTCGGTGGCATAATCCTTCATGGTGCCTTGCAGCGCTCTCAGCAGCACAGCCACCTCATCACTGCTCAGCGAAGCACCGATGCACAGGCACCCGAGGGCCAGCACCGCATATTGCCGCGTCGTGGGGTCCTGGGGGTCTGATTTCAGAGCCCATTAGCAAGGGAGAGAAATGTTCGATGGAACCTTCCACTATATGCTTGGGTCTATCCCATTTCTGGATGATGATGATGATGATGATGATGATGATGATGATGGTTTAAAGGCCTTTCTCTAGAATAGTGATAATTGACTGCAATAGGACACCCCCAAACTGTATCAACCATATCCTACACCTTCAGTGTTTCAAACCCATCCACAGGCGCTTCCAAGTAGATGTTCTGCGGTGCATGCGCAGGTTGCCAGGATGGGAAGATACCAGCTGCATGACTGCGTGACCTTTCTTCTTCCCTTGTCAAACTCCATGGTAACATCACAGCCCCAGCTGCCTCCGAAGTCGATGTGAATCACAGCCCATCTCCCCTCCGGCTCCATTCCCTTTAAGGGTGGCACTAGGGGCAGAGACCCAGGATCCAACGAGTATACCGTATACCTCTCGAGTTAGCATGCTCCATGGCCCACTGAAAACAAGCTGACATCACCAGACAAGGGTCACTCGCCAACCCCAAAACGTCTCGATGTCAGCTGCCACCCTTCTCACCCTGACCAACAATCTCCCGAAAGCCCCCCCCTCCCACTCCATGTCGATCTCCTCCTGCTCCTTGCCGCCTGGGAGATCTTGGTTCAGTGCTTCCTTCGTCAAGGCCTCCAGAACCTGCAGGCGCCACGCCGGGCCAGCGCAGCGAGCAGCGCTGGTCCGTGGGAGCGCGCCCAGGCAGAGCACGTAGCCCCGCCGCGCGGCGATGGTCTCGTTGGGCTTTCGGAGGCCTTCAAGGAGCGGAGCAAAGACCAAAGGCTTGACAGGTTCACCCCAGGTGAGGTGGGCCGTTTTGTTCGGGGCTTGGGCGAATCATGAAATAGATTGCAGTAAATGCAAGGAGGTATTTTGGAGCGGCCCAGCGGCTTCACCTCAAAGCTGTAGAAAGAGACTTTTGAAGAGCAGATTGGAGGGACTTCTCGGAAAGAACGGATGCCACTCTTGGGTGTTGGTCAATGTTGTTTGCCCTTTGACCAGCTGTCTATCGTGTCTATCTGGGAGAGTTCCTTCTTATAGAGTGCTCTTCAAAAGACCAGTTCGGGGGCGATCTGTCATCCGACGGGCCGGTGAAGTTAGTCTGCATCCAAAAAAGACAGCAGGGAGACACCCGAGACACCATCTATATCTAGATCTTCCAACTATGCAAAATTAAATCTAGATCTTCCTACCTAGATCTTCCAACTATGCCAACTGCCTGCTATCTGGATCTTCCATCTATATCTAGATCTTCCCAGGCAGGCAGTTCTAAAAGCTGGCTTTTGAGATGAAAAGGCCGAAATCTGGCACAGTTGGAAGATCTAGGTAGCACCCGACTTCACAGGTCACCAGCTGCGAGTTTGAAGCTTGCAAAGCCACCAGAGGAGACCTGTTGTGGCCTATGGCAGAAACAATATCTGCGTTTGGAGGTAACATGGAAAAAAACAATCGATTTGGTCGTGAGATTCCAGTGTTGGGACTTTGGTACATCAGCAACAGAGGTGTTTATGAACTAGGTGTACAGCATCGGAGTGCCAACCAAAAGAGACTGTTTGCTGTCTGTACCTGTGACTTTTACACACTTGGCGAGACTGCACAAGCGCTGGCATTGTTGCAGCAGCGGTGGAAGTGCACCAGCATGTTGTTCTAAGAGTTTTGAAGAACTTATTGGTGCTCTCAAAAAATGTGGGGAATATGACGCACATGTCAACTTGCACCCTGCTCCCTTTCGCAACCTTCCCCAAATACCTGAAAAGCGAGGTTTGTGACTCATCAGTACTTGATGAGTTCTTGGCCCACGTCCACTTCTTCAGCTATTTGCCACCTTCCACCTAGAGAAGTGCCGTTGACTACCCCGATCTTCAACGTTCATCAATGACCATGTGTTTCAACAGGTTCAACCGGAACGACCTGCAGCGGAACTGGAAAACCCACTATTCCCAAGAACCATCCCTGGCAAGGTGCCCTGGATGCCCTGGTGCCATGGCCCACAGCCATGTTCTTTCAGGACCTTTCTGATCTAATCGAAACAAAATGAGATAAGGAAGGACAGGAAAGAACCTTGCCAAGCTTCACCAACTCCGCTCCATCCGCTCGTTTCAAAAGAAATAGAAAAGCCTTTGCAGGAAGCGTTTGGCCTTGTAAGTAGCTCTCCACAGATTTCATCATCAGCTCCTCCGACAATCGCTTCTCGGCTAAAACCTGGAAGGCTTCAGAGGCAGCGACCTGCGCTCGATTCGAGCTTGGCGCTGTCGAAGGGGGGCGAGAAAGATCTGCCTGCACTGCAAAACCAAGCAACATTTCCAGTGATGAACATGTGGACTCATACAGCCACTACAGTACTCCAGCAGTACTTCCAGTAGGGAACTATTCTACATCTTTTCCTCTTCCCTCCACCCGTCCAGCTCCTCTCCTGGATGGCATCGGTGGTGTGGCGACTGCATTCCTCCAGGGTCTGGAGATAGCGCTGCGCCGTGGCCTCCTTGAAGCTCCAGGAGGTCCCAGCAATCGTTCCCAACAAACCTCCGCTCGCGCCACGGGACGCGCCACGGGACGCGTCCCGTGGCGACGCGTCCCGTGGCGAGTCCCCGCGAGGTAGCCAGTGACGGAGCGAGAGCGAGGTGGAGGTGACTCGGTGTCTGAAGGAGCCCGGAGTCCGAAGGTGTTTCTTGTCTTTAAATCAGGTGGATCGAGCAGTAGAGGCTCATGGAGTATGAAACTTCTATGAGTCCTCGTACTCTGGTCATCGCCAGATTCATCTGCTTTTGACTTGTTCATATTGGTTGTCCACTTCGAGCTGACTTCATTCCCACTCAGAATGCAGCACATGATTCTGTCTTGGTCTTTTTCAAGTCTATGCTCCTAGTCCTAGACAGCTTCCTTGTGCCGTAGACATTCGTTTGGCTCTGCACCCATCGGAGTAGCTGATTTCGATGGGATCTTCGTAGATACCGCAGCAAGTTGGTGAGATCGCAAGTTGGTTGCCCAGAAAGATCCACCTGCTCCTCGAATCAAAGGGATCGAGTTTCGTTTGACGGTGCTTCCAACCCGAAGCAGTACCCAAACCTCGCCACTGGCCACTGGGAATCCACGAAACTAGACATATTAAAAACAAACACTATTTAAACACCAAAAATGGGTTCTGATAAAGACACTTTCTTGAGTCTTGAGAGTACTGTACATGTTCTATACATCTGCTCTCTCATCCACGGCCTCGGTCGACTCGTCTCTCTTCAGTCTCTCTGCTCCGTCCGAGGCACGGCAGGCGGCCTGGCGAATCACTTCACCCCCACGGCCTCGGTAGGCGCGCGCCTTCTCGAGCGCAGGGACCAGGTTGCGGATCCTGAGGGCGGGGGATGCGGCGGAGCTGCCCGGTGCAGCGCCGTGGGTTTGGCGAGCGAGAGGACGAGAGGAGCAGGAATCTGGGTTGGGGGGGGGGCATGAACAATGGATGAAGCGGTGCATCAATTACAACTGCTCCGTGAGCTCGGGATTCGGCATCGGTTCTGGACGTCTCCCAGACACGGAAGCCGATCGTGTTTCCAACGACCTGACATGGGGGAAGTGTTTAACACGCGAGGTTTCGGCCAAGAAAGGACCAGGTTGTAGCGGTCAATCAACGAAAAAAATGAGAGGCCCATCACCAGCTTCTTCAAAGTGACCTGCAAAGGGATCCTAATGTCTGATTTTTGGTCAGGCTGGAATCACGGCCGCATGGCCTTGTGGGAAGACTACGCCTCTCAGCACAATCCATCACTTGCAGACCTACTATGGCCCAAAAGCGTCCAAGGCACTGTTGCTGGTTTTCAGCTGAGACCCTCTCCTGGCAGGTGCAAGATCTTTGTGCCGAGTCAAGATCTGTTCAAATGAGGCATTCTTTGCTGTTCTCTCTTGCACCTCGTGTTCGGCATTCAGATGATTGGCAAAGATGTGGCTTCCCACTACAGTTTGTAATGTTCTACCAATTGAAGAAGTCAGAAGTAGTGCTCAAGCAACTTGTCTTGCACAAACACAGGACTCCAAAACCAATCCAACCAACGACAACCCCTGCGCGGGCCCTCTTGCAGCACCCGCCAGCACCAAGAACTCCCGTCCACACCCCTTCCTGGTCTAAAACTACATCCACCCAAAGCTTGTTGGGTGAAACAGCTAGCAATCTACATTGGCAAAGTGAAAAACCGGAGCGAACAACATAATTATGTGATATGTGTGTATGTATCCAAATAAAGAGACCTCCCAACCCCCCCTGGAAGATTGCAAATAGGTCGATGGTCTCCCTATTAAAATACACACCCATATCAACCCTCCCGACCCAGTTCCATCAGCTCTCCTGCATCACCTGAACCAGCTCCGCAGCACCTTCCACCGCGCCGTGCTTCGCTTGCACCGTGGACTGGGCGTCGTGGCAGCGTGCCAGGAGCCGAGGGAGAACGTGGGAGTTCAACAGCTCCAAGGTCTCCTGGCCGCTGTTGAAGCAGCAGCAGATGAGGTGAAGTGCAGCAGCTTAGAGGGTCGGAGAGCAAGCAACTGCCAACAACTGCAAGCAACTGGATAAAAGATGAATCCTCCGGCATTGCACTTGCCGGCTGCCATTGAAAGAACATTGATTGTAATATGAATAGCTGTTCTTTCATCATTCTGGGTTGAACTTTGTGACCAGCACCCTGACCACCGTCGTGACACCCGCCGGCACATACGACGATAACGACGAGATCACTGAGGGCGAGGTCGGCTCCTCAGAGGCAGTGTCGGCCAGTTTCGCCAACGCCTGCGCAGACAGCAAACGGATCTGCATGTCCTGGCGGGTCGAAAGGATCGGGATCCATGAGGATGGCAGGATGGAGCTCGGGATATCCCACTTTTGGGGGTGGAAAACTCCGTCAAATTCAACGGCAGGGGCTTCGGATCTGGACCCTCCAAACCTATACATGTCAAGTGGGAAATGGATGAAAATGGATCCGTAGAATCAGGCTATTCCACTTCCCCAAGTGGCGTCTCTGAGAAGCTCCTGCAGAAATGAAGAGCTGCTCCGGCAAGTACAAGTCCAAAAGTAGTACAGCATGTTGAGACCCCAAATTGGGCAGTCCAGCTGACGATGTCTGAGAACGGTGCCGAACATGCTTTTTCGTCAGCCCTTCTGCACATGGCATAGATCGCACCATTGAAGCACAACAGAAAACAAGCCACTCAGTCGCGGAGTGTGGTTTCAGCCTTTGATGGGTCCTGGTGTGGCAGCTTCTTCTCCACCAGGTGCTCGATCAACGCCTTCCGATAGCCTCCAGAGCCCAACCCGGCGATCTGCGGCGCGACCTGTGTGGCAAGGTCCGTCTGGACGCAACGTCGAGTCGCTTCTTGCTCCGGTCGAGTCGCGATGCCCTTTGTTACGTTCGTAGCGTCCTTGTTCCTAAGTAGTGATGCCAGAAGCTACTATATAATAGCTTCTTGCTCCTAGTCAAGTCAAGTGTTGGAGAAACTGAAGCTGTTCTCTCTTGGAGCTTTTTGAAGATCGGGTGTGGAGTTGCCAGCCTGGAGGTTGGCCAAAAACGACCCGTCAAAAGAAGCTGCCTGAAAGAGTCTCTTGGGTAGGAAATGTTCCTTCTTACCCCCATTACAATTACATGGACCTACTTCCCACCAATCACAGCTGGTGACCCGTTTGCTATGCCTACCCTATGCCTACCCTATGCCTTCCACCCCTGAGATCCGTTCCTTCCGAACGACCGGAGGCGTGGCGCCGGCGGCGGCCTCGAGGTAGGCCATCCGGCGCACCGAGAGCGTCCAGTAGTCGGCGATGGTCACCACGTCCTCGGCGGCGAGGTCCACCCGAAGCTCAAAACGTCCAGGCGCGTGGCGCATCCAGGCCGTTGGCGCCTATCACAAACCCCGTAAGAAATTCAGGAAATGGAGAATGTCATGCTCGGTCAAGATCCCTGGATGCAAAGTTGGATATCTTGGGACACAAAGCTCGGTACTTTCCGGCTTTTCCCAACTCAGGTGATCCGGTTTTCCCATTTCTATTTGTGGAAGCTCCGACCTGGAGAGCATCTGGGAGTGCTATGGAGTGCTGAACCACAGGCCATTCTAAAGGCAGGCAAGGAATGTGGCACGTGTTCGGACGCCCACCAAGCGATCGAATTCTCTCGTCAACCTTCAAGTCTCAGGCAACCTGGCCCCTCAACGCCTCAGCCTCTCCTCCCAACAGCCATGCAAGTATCGATGCCATGGGGAAAGGTCCCTTGGCGCCCCACGTTCTCCTGCACCGCCGCGGCCGCCGCCCGGCGGCAGTTGATCTCACGATCGAAGACCGCTACCTGCGACGGACGGGTGGACGCCATCCTGGACCGGGTCGAAGAAGACCCCATCCGAACGGGGGGAAACCCCAGTCCCAGCCCAAGCAGAAAGAAATGGATCAAAGAAGTCCCCAGTGCCCACCTTCGTAAGGATCTCAAGAAAGCCATCCGACCGGGTTTCTAACCCTGATTGGGACTGCGTGTCCAGGTCGGATTCCAGTCAATCGTGCCGTGCAAGTAGAATTATTGGGTCCTGGTGCTTCCAAGTGACCTTTTGATCCCCTGGTTTGAGGTCACTTAGGCCTATAATGGGTTACTTAGGGACTCCAAAGAGGTCACTTGGAAGAAGCTGGGTGAGGAGTTTTGGAGGCCCCTCCGGTTTTTTTGGTGCAGCTGCCTTTGCGGGGTCAACTCTTAGAGGTTCAACACCATGGCTAAGCTCTTGGCAGCGTCCCCGCTGGAGCTCTTCCAGACCCCTGTGCTGGAAGAGCTCCAGCCGGGTGGCCATTTTACCCATCCAGGGTGCCATGATGCAACAACTGGGGGCACATGACAGGATACACTGACTCAGCAAAGGAAACGACCAAAAACGGACGCAAAAAAGCCTTATATGGTTAAACCTTGCCCATCGGAGTCAGCTATCAAACCTTCTGATAGCCCTCCTTGATGTAGGTGCCCCAAGTCCGTCTAGATTCTCCACACATCATGAAGAACAGGGAACAGGACAATTCATATTTAGCAAATTCACTTGTTTCGTCCGGCCCACTCATGTGACTAAAGAGTGAGACGGACTAAACAAGTGAATACTGTTCAGGCACCAGGTGAGTTGTTTTTGCTGCCCCCGCTTCGCCACACGAACGCAGGTCGGTCGCCTGAATGAGCGCGCTCGCCAGGTCCACGACAAAGGGCTGTAAGACATCCGGCGCGTAGGCGCGAGCGAAGGCCCAACACACGTAGCCTGGGGCGGAGAAACGTGTCGACGGGACGTGTCTGTGGCCCCAAGAAAACGCCATCATTCCAGGTCATTCTCTGGGTCCAACTCCCAAGGCTGGTCAGCACATGTCCTCCGAACGCTGGTCAGCTAAGAGCAGCTAAGAGAGGGTCAGCTTGAAAGCCCGGTTGGATTCTCCACTGCAACAGTCTCCCCCCCAGCGTCTCCTCACAAAACCGCACCAAGCTCACACGGTCCATACACGCCTCCCACCCCCCCTCCGCCAAGGCCTTGCATGTGGCTTCAGCCCTCAAAACACGTCACAGAACCGAGCTGCAGGCGGCATCCCTCACGTGTTGGCCCAGCGTGTAGTTCCCCGAGACTTGTTCGAAGTGCAAGGCTTGGCACACCAGCGGGATCACCGTCGGCAGTCCTGAAGACGCGACGAACGGAGCGATCGGACGCTAGGAACGGGGCTCCTGGCCGTACTACTAGGAACAAGAAGCTATTAGAAACCAGAATTCAATAGAATTACCATTGAGTTCGAATTCGGGGGAAAAAAACCGACCCGGGGCGCCCCCGCATTACCCGGTCAGAGGCGCCGATGATAGATCAGCACAGAATGCACATCTGAAATCAAAGAACGGAGTAAGATCGGAGTACATTAGGTGATAGAGGAGGGCTGGAGAGGGTGTGCGTGTATAGGAATAAATTGTTCAGTAAACTGTGTGATACAGACCACCAATCTCGGTTCGCAACGCCTGATCTGTAGTTATAGGAACCTGTTCAGGATGGTCATGGTTGGCCCCTTCCTCTTTATATTCTGAATAAACCAAAGGGGGGGACCCAAACCATAGAGTTGGTCCAATCCTGATGGGTGAGCCTATCACAATTTGCAAGGCGAGGTTCGGTGCTATCCACCCCAAAATCACTGCCAGCCCATGCTTACTACATCTACTACCCATTCACCAGTAGCTGGTCAATACGTCAATATGCTAAGAAAATCTCTTCATGATGGCCCTCTCACTGAGTAGTTTGCCCGGCTGGACACACGAAGAGATGATTTGAAGCAATCCCATGCCAGAATCCGGGCAGATCTCTGCATTTGACATACCCACTTCATCCATCCTGGTCTCTCGTCTTTTTGGAAAGGCATCAACTTGAAACCCAAGGAACATGGCAGTGTGAGGTTCCGCGCCTTTGCAGGGACTTCATTAAATGCCCGCCCATGTCCAATCGACCCCTCTGGGTTTGTTTTCCACCGACTGCACCATCACACACCGCCACACCGCAACCATCCTCCCCCGCAACGATCGGGGTGGTCCGCAACCCTCAACACACAAAGGTCCAATATGGTCCAATATCCAACAAAAGCATTGGAAGCAGATCAAGACAACAATTCCAGTCGTCGCTCGTTTTTCTGGCATTCTTTAGGTGGGCTTCATCCCAGTGGCGTTCGGGCAGCAGAAGGCCGCGGCGCGTGAGCTCCGCCAGGGCCAAGCAGCCGCCGTGCCAGGCCTTGTCCGTCTCGCGGAACGAGAAGCAACGCTCCAGCAGCGATTCCTTCGGCGCGGAAGGCAGTGCCAGGCTTGAAGGACGCCCCGGCGAACCGCGGGCGCCTGTGCTCTTGGGGGAACAACAAAAGAAATTAGCGTTCTTGTTACGTTCGGAGCGTTCTTGCTCCTAGTAGTAAGGCCAGGAGCCCCGTTCGTAGCGTCCTTGCTCCTAGTGGCGATGCCAGGAGCCCCGTTCGTCGCGTTCTTGCTCCTAGTAGTAAGGCCAGGAGCCCTGTTCGTAGCGTCCTTGCTCCGTTCGTAGCGAGGCCAGGTAGTAGCTTCGTTACTAGTAGTATATATATATATATACACGTGCATAACCCTGAATAATTCAAGGATTTGAGGTCTGTGAGGTGCCGACCACCCCGTCAAAAAAACTTGCTAAAGCAAGAGCGACTACAGCTGAGGCTAGCTTTTGTGAAAACACCTCCATGTGAATTCTCCAAAGCCTGGCTCCAAAGCCTGACGAGCAAGAAAACACCGAAACAAGAGGATCGTGTAGGGTGTCGGTCAACCTCGAGTGACGATCGCGACCTTCGAATGTAGATTCTTAATGATTCAACCCGCCAAGCTTGAAGAGGTCTTGCCATCCCAATGAGGGTCTACATGGGTCTAGATTAGTCCAGAGTCTACATTACTGGGTGCAACACTTTTGGTGCCTTTAAGATAAACTCTATTCAACACAAGTCTCACATCCAGAGAGGCCTCCGTAGGCTCGTCCGAGAGTTCTTTTTCGGCCGAGCATCCAAGACTTGGTCGCCAAAATCACGAGACAGGCGATTCGTCACCTGAGGATTCGTGTCGCGGTTCCTGCCCACACGAAGAAAACGTTTCCCCGGTGGGTCTCCCTTTTGGATCCCATTGCTTGTTTTAGTCAGAGCTGTGATACAGCGCCTACTGGTGCCTTTTTTTTCCATTTGGGCGGTCGGTTTCCTACAATTACACCACCGTAGACCCCAAACAGTTTGTGCTTTTTCAAATCGAAACTAGAGCTTGCGACGTCCAGAGCTGGGAGACAAAGGATTGCGTACAGAGCGGGCGGACACATCTTAAGAAAGAATTGACAAGCCCCAACAGCAAACCTTTTGGGGAATTATTCTTCAAGTGCGAACATGATGCTGGTCATGCTGCTCAATCAGCGGGGAGCTGACCACGTGAGGACAAGAAATAAAAGCATGAGGAGCGAAGGATGTGACATGAAATTGGTTTTTGGTGCCTGACGTATGCCCTCCGTCCCAACTGAACAGAGAGATCGCTGCCACGCCGCCGAAAACGCTTGCCCGAAAAGGAAAACAAAGCTGAGAGAGTTACACAGTGTGGCAGGAATGCAATCCCGCAGACAATCACGCACCCCTTTCAAAGGAGCAAGAACCTTTCACAGGTGAACCTGTTCCAGCGGACAGGGCAGAAAACACCAGCGCAGTAAAAAGAAAGAAATCACATGGGAGACAAATAATAGAAATGCTACATGGCCAACGGAAAAGGGCGGCAGCACCAGTCACAGACCCGGGAAACAAATGAATAGAAATGCTGCATGGCCAGCGGAAAAGGGCGGACACCAGCAGTGACAGACCTGGAAAACAAATGAATAGAACTGTTGCATCCCCAGCGGAAAAGGGCTGACACCAGCAGTGACAGACCTGGGAGACAAATAAATAGAAATGCTACATGGCCAACGGAAAAGGGCGGACACCAGAAAGGGCGGGCACCACCAGTGACAGGCCTGGGAAACACATGAATAGAAATGCTGCATGGCCAACGGACAAGGGCGGACACC